CAGTATCGGTAGCACTGGCAGGCTGACCGCACGGTGGTCTGCGCTCGCCCGGCTGCCTACCTCCACTCCACTGGACTTCCCCCAGCCCCAAGACTTAACAGGCCGGCCACTGGAGCAGGCGTCACTCCAGACTCATCGTGTTTGCTGCCTGGGCTGCTCGGGCTGCTTGCGACACTTGACGTCGTCCTTCCCCTTTTACGGGCGGCCCCCGTCCCGCCAGTTCCACCGCGGTGCATGGGCGGCCAGACGGCCGTCGGGACACCCCGGCGCCTAGAAGGCCCGAGGGCCCGAAGGCCCGAAGAGATCGATAGCGGGAGGGGGAGGGGAGGGCCGAAGGGGAGGCGGGGGAGGGAAGTCCCACCCCGGGAGGCACTAGAAGCCGACGCCGACGCCAGGCTGGGCCTGCGAGTTGCGAGGCCCTATCACTCGGGACGCCCCCGACGACGTTCCGCCACGACAGCCCGGAACGTTCCAAAGCCTCCTCGCCCGGACCCGCACACGTAAACCTGGGTCCCGTGTCCGCCCTAGTAATTTTCCCCCTGCCCCTCCCCCTCCCCCCTCACTTACGAGACCGGGTTGCCGCGTCCGTGTTCGTAAATAGCTCATTGTTTGGGGCCTTTGTGCGGCACATGTCTGCAGCCTGCCGCTGGAGCCACTCACACCATTTGTCTCCAGACCGACCAATGGCACAGTCGTGAGGCGCCTCTCCGTCTCTCTCCCACACTTGCGCGTGCACACACACACACACAAGAGCGATCGCTCGCCGAGAAGCCCAGGAGAGATAGCCCGGGTGCCGAGACCATGTCAATAAATCGCACACAGCACCGATAGTGGCGTTCCAAGTAAAGGCGGGCCGAGGCGCCGAAGGTGACGGGCGGTGATGACGGTGACGGGGCCCTACTAGAGTACTACTGCTAGGCCCTGCTGGCCCTGCCGGCCCTGCTGGCCCAGTAACGCCCGCCGACCAGAGGATGGCAGCCCCGCGGGACGTGCGTGCGCGGCGGGACTGCCTACCCCCGACTCGGCGGGCGCTAGCGGCCAGCGCTTCGACCCGCCGTCGCTGCAGACCCCTGCAGACACTGCAGGTGTAGGGCGGGGCTGAGGCTGAGGCCGAGGCCGAGGGCGGTCGACGCGCACGTCGGACTGCCGAGCGACGAGAATCAGAAGAGGAGTGGAATGGTCGTGTCGCGCACATCGCCTTCCTTTTGAGGCTGTCGGGGAAACTCACTCGGGCTGCGTTGCTACGCGCTGCTACGCTGCTACGCTGCTCCGCCGCCAGGTCCTGGTCGCGGCCTCCTACGTGCAGATGACGCACGGCGTGGCGCGGCGCGGCGGGGCGAGTGGGCGGCTAGCGGCGCGCTGCCGGGCAAGCTGGTCCTGGTCCGCACGACGGTGGGCACGGCGACGGCTCCCGTGGCGGCGGCGCGGAGGTCCGGGATACTTTTGAGGTTAGGTCCGCGCGCCTCGCTAGACGCGCCGCTCGCTGCTTCAAAACTCGCGGCAACCGACGCCGACGGCGGGGAGGGGCGGGGAGGGGCGGGCGGAGAGGCCGGAGGGGGCCTTCGACCGGCGATAGTCGTGGCCGCGGGCGAGGCAGTAGCAGGGCGCAAGGGGGGCCACCGCGCCGGCGGCGGAGGCGGCGGAGACGGCGACCTTGCGAAGGAACACGAACTACACCGCGCTACCACATCGGCACCGTCGGCACTGTCCCGGTGATTATCTCGACGTTGTCTCTGGCGCCGGCAGAGCGCGGCACGGAACGGCACGGCGTGTCAGTGGCGTGTCAGCGGCGCGTCGGCACGGCCAGCAGCGTCAGCGCACGGCCAGCGCACGGGTCGGACTGACACGCGACGCCCGACGGACACGCGGCGCGGCACACGCGGGCACGCCTCTCGCACCGAGGGCCGGCCGCGGTGCCGCGGTGCCGCGACATCGGTTTGGTTTGCGGTGCCGCGGTGGGGACGCTGCGTGGGGAGCGGGGCGGTGGGGCAGGGCAGGGCAGGGCGGAGGGTCCGCGGCGCCCCTCTCGTAGTGCTGCCAATGAACGCTCTAATTCCTACGGCGAAACGCGATCGCCGGCCGCGACACGGCAGCGACAGGGCGCCGCTGACGGACAGGGAGTCAAGCCCGCCGCCAAGGACACGCCTCGCCGCCAAGGCCGAGAACGGCGTGGCACCGCAGTCCGGCAGTCCGGCCGCGCGCCGCCACGCCACGCCGCCGCGCCCTTGGGCCGCGCGCGCTAATCGCGAGGGCTATATTCGGAACCAACAACAAACTTGGCGTGCATTCTCCTGGCCGCCCTGCTCCCTTCCCTTCCCTTCCCTGCCCTGCCAGCCCTGCCTTGCCAGCCCTGCCGCGAAAGCCTGGCCGGGAAAGCGCCGCGCTGCCGAGTGGAGTCCGCCCAGTCCGCCCTGCCACCGCGTTTCCACGCTTCAGACGCGAGACGCGGCGCAGGCGGCGAGGCTGCCCGCCGCGGGCCTCGCCCGTGACTGACGTCCGGGACGCACTCGATGCGCTCGATGCACTCGATCGGGCCGAGGCTCACCTTTGACCGGGCGGCCACGCCAGGCCACGCTCGATAGCACTTGCATGACACACTCTCACGCACGAGGGCCACTTTTAATAACCACACGCACACACACGCACCGCGAGCCAGCGGGGTACAGAGGGTACGCGTTTTAAACAGGTGAGTCCGATGGGTGGCCTACAGTCAAGGGGCACCGGGGTTCCCATGCCGACAGGCCGACAGAGGCTCGGTACGGCGCGGCGTGGCAGTTGGTTAACGAGGACCATTCCAGGCTGAGGTCCTGCAGGGGGAGGGGGAAGGTCCTGACAAATATAATTACCTGTCCAGGACATCCTAGCCGGCGGCGGCGGAAAATGGGGGAACATTCGCCCGTCACTTTTCCTGGAAGGCGGTGCAGGCGCAGCGAAGGGCAGGCCCTGCGAGGACGAGGACGGTCCTCCGGGAGGCACTCGAGGGCCCGCGGGACGGCACGGCACGGCACGGCACGGCACGGCACGGCACGGCACGCGGGACAACGGCGTTGAGCTCAAGTGGAGTGGACCACCGCGGAAAACGAAAACCGCCAACGGCTAAGCACTCTAACCACTTCACCATGGCCCCCCGTCGATGAGCAAACAATCAGACCCTGGCGTTCGGTTCAGGTTCAAGCCGGCGGGCCTGGGAACCGAGTCGAACCGAGCGCGGAGGCCCAAGACCTCCTCACTGGCCTCGCGGCCTCGGCCAGGCATGGGCACTGGGCGTGGCGGCGTGGCCGAGGCCGAGCCGCAGCCACGACGATGCACCTCGGCGCTGCCGTCGGTGCCGTGGTACTCGCCCTGATGTGTTCCGGGAATCGGTCCACGCCGAAAGTGCAAGTGAGAGTTGAAGGGGGAAGCACTCGTCGGCCACGGCGACGGCGGACGCGGCGGAGACGTCGGAGGAGGATGGGCCGGGGCAGGCCGAGGCAAGGTGCGCGCTTTCTGGTGGAGATGAGTGCCAGACTGCCAGACTGGACTGCACGACGTGGCCGCCAGCGCCGCCAGCGCCGCCAGTCAATGGCCTGTCCCTGTCACGGAACGCGTTCGAGTCCCAGGCGATGCGTTCGATGCTCTGATTGAATAGCAGCTCGTCGTCGTGGCGGCCGGTGCCCCTCCCGCCTTGTTATCTGCTTCCGAAACCGAACCGTGCACTAAAGATGCATAATAACGATGCTAATCAATGTTAATACGTTTGAAGCCTTCGGGGAAAGGTGAGCTCGCTCTAACTCGGGCAAACCGCGGTCTGCATCGTCATTCAATTACCCGACGAGCTCACACTCACACACACACTCTCTCTCACACGCGCGCGGTGTCACTCGTGCTTTATTTATCGTGGTTCAATTTCCTCCCTGTTCGCAGCCGTGGTGGGTGAGGGCTTCCCCCGGCTGCCGCGCCGCCTCTGGGGCCACTCGCCATGGCCCATGTCCGGCCCCAGGGAGGTGGTGCTGGAGGACTCAGGCGTCCGCGACGTGCTGGAGGGCCTGCTGGAGCACGTCCCCGTCGACGCCTTCTACTGGAGCACCGACCACGACCGGGCAAGTTGGACGACGCGGTGCGGCGGTGCGCAAAGTGGTTCTCGTACCCGATTTTTATTTCATTTTCGTTGGACAGGAACTTCCGGGGTACCTGTCGCAGGTGCGGTGGCAGGTGACGTCGTGGAGCGACTGCAACGACAAGGGCGTCCCGTCGGACCAGCTCCTGGAGATGGCGCGGACCGCCGAGCTGCTGCTCCGCACCAGGTACGCCGCGCACGCCGCCTTCGACGAGCAGGCCAGCAGGCCGTCGCCTAGTCGATGCCTCAGAGTTTAAATCCCTGTCTCCTTTGCCGCAGCGAGGCGCGCTGCAACTCGCCCATCGTGCTGCGCGTCGGCGGCCTCGCCAGCCCGCGGCCCTCGCGGCAGGACGGCGGCAAACTCCGCGGGAAGCACGGCGACGACGGGGCGAGAACGGACGCCGCGGTGCAGACCACGCCGCGCCTCGCGCGGGCCAACAAGCTGAGCATCGCCGTGTCGACGGACCCCTCTCCCCCCGCCTCACCGACTTCGTCCCCGACACCGGCAGCCAGGCCGCGAGCAACCGCGTCGGCCACATCGGTGGAGACGCCGCCTGACCCAACCAGCGCTGCGACACCTCTGCCAGCACCCCGCGCGCGTGCCGTGCTGCAGGCCAGCTCCAACCGATCACCAACATCCAGCGCGATCCCGAAGTCACCCCAATCGCCTCGCACAACGCCCCCGGCACCCGCCCCCACGGTTTTACCCTCACCCCCGCTGACGTTGGCGACCTCCTCCGTGCCTTTACAAACCTCACCGGTGTCCTCCACGCCGCCCACCTCGACCGCCACCGAGAGTGTGCCCACGTCGCCCTCCGAGGACTCGTGTCGCATCGTGTGGGGAAGCTGGTCTGCCCCTGTGGCGGTGTTCGCGAGGCGCGACGCCCCCCCGCGGTGGCCCCCAATGCGGCCCGTGTCGTCCGGGGCGCAAGGCACGCCCGGCACGCCGCCTCCCGTGGCGGACGCCCAGTTCCAGGCCGTGTCCGTCGCCGACGCTGTCCAGCGCCTCGAGGCTGTGGCCCGCCCTGACGGCCCGACGACGGCCTTGCCGGCGAGCGCGCGAGACCCTGCGCCTCCCCGCCTCCGCCTCAAGCAGCCGGCGTCCGCGACGCTCACAAGCTGCGCCGACGACACCGTCGAGAGCGTCGTTGAGAGTGCCGTCAACGGTTCCGTCAAGAGTGCAGTCGACGGCGACGTTGGGAGTTCTGTCGAGAGTTCCTTCGAGAACGCTGTCGAGAGCCCCGTCGAGAGCCCCGCCAGCCCCGTCGAGAGCCCCGTTGAGAGCCCCGCCAGCCCCGTCGAGAGCCCCGTCGAGAGCGCTGTCAACGCGAACTTCACCGTCAAGAGCGCCGTCAAGAGTGCTGTCAACGGCACTCGCAAGCCACACGCGGTTCTTCGGAAGCAAGTATCTTTCAGTGACCTGGTGCTGGAGATCCCCTTGCAGGCGGACGACGACAACGATGACAGTCCCGACGTTGCCCCTCATGATGACTCGCTGCACCAAGTCCGCTTCGCAGACGGGGGGGTGTCGGGTCGACGAGTTCCTGGTGCTGTCGCAGAGGATGTTCCCCAGGCCAGTACTCTGAAAACGAACCCCAGTCCCATGGTGGACCAAAGTCTCGAGGCAGGGCATAGTCCTGAAACAAACCCCTGCCCCGAAGTAGACCAGAGTCTCGAGGTCGAGGCTAGGAACAGTCCCTACACGAGCCCCAGCCCTACAATCGACTCCAGCACGAAGGAGAAGGGGAAGGGCAGTACCAAAGCAGATCTCGGCCCCGAGGGAGAGTCCAAAACGAACCTTCTAAGTCAGTCCAGGCTGCCCATAGGTGTCAATAAGCCCCAGAACGGAGAGAAGCCCGAGTTGCCACATCGGCTGTCCCTGAGAGGCATGATCATCCCTGACATCCTCCCCGTCAACATGTTACGAAGCCACCCCAAGCTCAAGAAGGCCACCGACGTGTCCAAAGGGTCCAAAGCCCCCTACCGCTCCGTTCCCCTCTGCTTGCCGTCGCCTGCCTCGGCGAGCGAGTAGCCAGCCCAGCCGGCCGCGCTGTGCCAAATGAGTTGCCACGCCACAGAGAAAAACCCTGTTTGCAATACAAACAAAATATTGTCTTTGAAAATTCTATGTTTGTGTGACTGTTAACGTGAAACCCAATAAAATGATTCGAACAGACCAGTATTTAAGCCACTTTCTCTGCTTCAACCACAGTCGGCGTGTCGAATGGGTTGCCTGCTGTCCGGGCGGCATCCTGCTCTGATTGTAGCGAGCAGTTTGTCATACACACTTGCGAAGCCTCGTACAAGGCATCGGACGAAGTGTGGTACGGAGCCGAATCACAAACAAACAAATGCCTGCAGTCCGGCGGTTTGGGCTGTGCCTACTGCTAAATGTAAATATACACGTCAAGCAGATCTGATAATCTTAAAAAATTCAAAATGACAGTGAGCGGTTCTGCCAGGCTAGCGTTTCGATAAGACTATGGTCTTGTCAGTTGCTGAGGCTGCCGAATTTCCCTATGAGATTACCCTCGGAGGAGCTCGGCGATCGTTCCGAGTTGGAACTGCGGTCGGGTCTACGTGGCGTCTGACACCCAACTAAACACAAATCCGGTAAGTTTTAGTTTTAATTTTAACCGACCAAGAGGGGGTGAATTCGCTCCTTAATCTGAGAGAAAATCAAACGTAATTGATTTCATCCTACTGAATTTTAATTTGCTCCATTTTGGCCGGGTTTATTTGTATGGTTGTGGTTATGATCAACTTGACATGTTTGTGGTACTCGATTGGCTGTCGATCTTTTGGACACCTGTCATGAGTCATGCCAAATCACCGACCCTCTGTGCAAATATATTTTTTTTTGCGTCAGTCTCACAAACCTACTTGAGCTCATGGCATGGTGTGTGTCTGTGATGTGGCAGTTAGTTAGTGATGGAAATGTAGACTTTGCACCTCAATTTACAGCCACCCCTTTATTAAAAAAAAACAACCCAAATTTGGAGGTGTTGCATTTGATTTATCTGTTGTTTTGTTGCAGTTACCGGATAAATCCCACCATGTGCGGCACCGACGCCAAACTAGGAGGAATGAAGGCCCTGATCCTTGTTGGTGGATATGGCACAAGGCTTCGTCCTCTTACCCTCAGCCGACCAAAACCTCTTGTGGAATTCGCCAATAAACCTATGCTGCTTCATCAAATGGAAGCTTTAGTGGAAGTTGGTGTTCATGAAGTTGTTTTGGCAGTTTCATACCGTGCAGAACAAATGGAGCAGGAGTTGAAAGAAGAAGCAAGCAAACTGGGTGTCAAGCTGGTCTTTTCTCATGAGACAGAGCCATTGGGCACTGCAGGCCCACTAGCATTAGCTAAAGACATTCTCAGTGAAACTGATGAACCCTTCTTTGTGTTAAACTCTGACATCATCTGTGAGTTTCCCTTTAAGGATCTTGTCACATTCCATCGCAACCATGGTAAAGAAGGGACTATTGTTGTGACTAAAGTAGAAGAACCATCCAAGTATGGAGTTGTTGTATATGGAGAGCAAGGAAAAATTCAGAGCTTCATTGAAAAACCACAAGAATTTGTGTCAAATAAGATCAATGCTGGCATGTACATTTTCAATCCAACTGTGCTGAAGAGGATTAAACTCCAGCCCACAAGCATTGAAAAAGAAGTGTTTCCTCATATGGCTTCTGAAGGACAACTTTACGCAATGGAGTTGCAAGGTTTCTGGATGGATGTCGGACAGCCAAAAGATTTTCTTCGTGGTAGGGCAAACATTTTCCTATCTGGCTCTTATTTTGTCTGAAGTAATTTCCAGTTTGTGCACATTATGTTCCTAATATTTCTTTCTTTCTCTTTTTTAAAGGAATGTGCATGTATCTTACTGCTGTGAGGCAAAAGAATGCATCTGTTCTTCATAATGGTCCCACTACAGTTGGAAACGTTCTTGTTCATCCTTCTGCAAAAATTGGACATGGATGTCGTATTGGTCCCAACGTTACTGTAGGACCTGGAGTTATAATTGAAGATGGAGTCTGCATCAAACGCAGTACCATTTTGAGAGATGCTGTAATTAAGTGAGTTATATGAAATCGCACAACTTTTCCTCGTTTTAGTAACATACACTTTCATGAACATTTTTGGTTTTACAGATCACATTCGTGGTTGGATGGCTGCATTGTTGGCTGGAGAAGTGTTGTGGGGCAATGGGTAAGAATGGAAAATACTACTGTTCTTGGAGAAGATGTCATTGTAAAAGATGAGGTTTATATTAATGGGGGCCAAGTTCTTCCTCACAAGTCAATTGCCAGTTCAGTTCCTGAGCCTCAAATTATTATGTAATACTTGCACCCGTATCCAGTTGTATCAGACTGTTTATGGTGGATGCTTGAGCCTCTAGTGTGGAAAGTTGCTGAAACACAGCTCATAATTATTTTAATAATAAGATCTTTTTCATGATAGTTCAATAACCCAGAGTGGGCAGAAGTGACCTGGAGTCTATTTATGATTAAAATATCATCATTTTATTAGCTAGTTTGGAATTTACTTTGCTTCTTATGTTTCTGACATTATGTCTATCCCAAATTTAAGTACCACTACGTATCTGGTTTGGGTTTCCCCAATCCCTTGTGACCACTCGCCCCCCTCTTTGTCCATGAAGGAACTAAAACAATGCCAAAAGCACAAATTCAGAAGCCCAATGTAGACAGAGACTGTTACTGCATTTCTATTTTCAACTAAGCAGCCTTGAAGCAATGTTGCATTGTATGTTTATTGGTTTTAACGCACAACCATTATTATTAGTATCGTTATTATTTCAAAATGCCATAATACTAAGCACTTTCAATTTTACCTCAGAATAATTCGCCTCAAAATCACGTGAGATTATGGCAAAGCTTTAATTCAAACCAAAGTTTTTATTAAGTTTAACTTCAATCTATATCAAAGAATTATAGAAAAATTAATATGATTGTAAAATATTTACATCACAAATCAGTAATTTTTTGTACCATGTGATTTTTCCTTATCTTTTAACTCAGTTAATTTTTGTGCGAAGAGATTGGGCTCTTGCACTTCTGGAGTTGCTGAAGCATAATCTATTATGCTTTAAATCATTGTGCAGATGGGATTGCTGATAATATGCCTAGTTACAAAATTTTTATGGGCTTGTTAAAGCAATCACAATGGTATTTGGCTGCTCAAAGATCCACATTTGACTGAAGATTTGTACTTTTTTAAAATTAGGAATACACTCAAGTTTCAATTGATTTTTCACTGTCACAGTTTTGAAGACAAAATGCTCTTGTGTTCAGTGTGAAATAAGGTCCACCCATCCATGTTGATAGGGATAAAATTATTTTGCAATGAATTGGAATAATTTGAGCTTCCCCATGCTAAATTCTATGTACGGTGTCTATAAATTGTCTGATATTTCAGAGAGAGATTCCTTTTACGCATGAATCAAATTGTTATTTCTGTTTTTATGTGTTGTGTACATTTTTAAATGTCAATGTTGCATATAAGATACAAATTTATTATTGTTCTGATTGGTTGGACAGCTGTAAATGTCTAAATGTCCTATAATGCTGTTCCAAACTTTTATGATATCTTTTATTTGTAAAGATAGAAAGTTTTTGATAGTGCTCTTGATAAAGTATCTTTTATGTATGAATGGGAAATGAATGACTTAAAAATAGTTCAGATGTATGTTTGTAAATTTTGTGCCATCACTTGTAGCCTCAGTTTTATCTTGCAAGCAAAACATTGCAAATCAATTGAAGTTTTTAAGAACAAATCCCACGTGTCTTGAAAAAAAATTCATCACAACCTTTTCCAAAAATTACTGTAAAAGTCTGTAGTTTTATCATCTAAGTTTTGCTCGTATTCTATTGGGCAGTGTGCATACTGAAATCATTTGGGTTTGCTAAGGTTCTTTGTTTCCTGTGGAAATTGTTTATTTTAACAGCCTCTGATGGGGGTTTATAGCATATCTGGTATGTATGCTATCCAGTTTGGCTTCTCTTGGTGTGCATCTGAAAATTACCTATGGTGGGACCATTTGTCTAATTATATTTGTTAGAAGACCACAAGTGGTTATGATTTTGTAGGGACACAGTCAGTGAGAAACGAAAATTGGATCAACATCAAATAGATGTCAAGTCAGCACTAAAGGCCAAAGTTCCGTCAAAACTTAGGTCAAATTTGAGGACGTCAATCCATGTTTATTCAACGTCGCCACAAATTTTGGTTCTCACTGGGACTAACCATGTAAGTTAAACCCACCGATTTTTATTGGATATCACCTGCTGCAAGGAAAGAAATCTTTTATTTGATCTTAGCTTTCATCTTGAAAGATTGAGTCATCGGTTTTATAATTTTGAACCTAGCAGGTTTGATTAGAATGCACCGAGTGTAATAACATTATTATTATTCTTGTTGTTTTTTTCCTTTGGGAATGTTCCAAGCCCTTGTTACACCTTTAACTCGTTATAATTCAATTTGATATACCACGCCGGACTGTAAGAGCAACAAGTCTGATGATGGTTGCTTGTCTTATGCACTTTATATATTTGTTAAGCATATTTTTACCAGCCTATTTTACAGTATATGAGGTGAGGTGAACGCATTTGATGAAACAGTTGTGATTTTTTTTTAGTTTGCGTGCTCTTTGCACACGTACATACTAGCAAAAGATCTTTGATATACATTTGTTATTATCTTTCATGTGTACATAATGTGACTGATATTTTTTTATTGCAGACCTGTATGTGTTGTTTATATTAATTATGACATTGGGTAGAGCACAGCTTGATTTATTTCATTTTTATCTTCCCTCACGGTATTATAGGTTTTTACAGGAAAAGAAAGACTCAACTACAAATTTGCTTACTTTTTAACAAAAAAGGACCACTACCACAAGTTGATCAATATCAATAATAATCAAGTTTCTAACAAAATTCACAGAAGATCTCAGCAGGAGATGGTTGATGATTGAGGACTTCCTTGATTGTACAGTTTAACTCTGAAAATAATATTACCTTAAAAAGATATGTTGTTGAAACATTGATAAAAGGTTGAAATTTAACAGATCTATAAATCAAAATTAAGGTAAATGCCTCTGACTAGTATTAGCCTTCTTCAGGCCCAAAATGAATATGTAACAATGTTCACTGCATTAATGATAAATCAATCAATTGATTCATACTCAACAAAACCGAAACAAAAAAATCATTTTTTAAAAAATCAATAGTTAATAGTAGCATGACCATCTTCTCTAATGGCCCGCCGTTTTCTAGAGGTTCCTTCTGGTGTACTGATGTTGCTGCCTCCAGTTGCATAACCCATATCAGGAGAATCTACAACCTTCCGTTTACAATCGCTGCCACGATTGGGGTTTCTACTGTTGAATTAAAGGGAAAAGTATTAACATGTGAATGCATTATGAATGCCATATATCACAATATTTCTCTGTCAAAACTTACCTGAGAATTGCATTGGCACATAATACGAGATCATCACAAACATATTTAGTAATGGCAGTCAGCTCTTTGGTCCATCTGTAGGCAAGGCGTAATTGCTGCCTTGCTAGAAGAATACATGCACATGCCACTACAGAGGGCATGAATTGAATCATACACATATCTGAAACAATATACTATGGATGAAAATCTGTTCCCCTTCATGAGGATACCATAACTAGGAGCAAAAAAACTCACCTAGTAGAGATAGCTCTAAATAATCTTTCACAGCTCTTTGGGCTTCTTGCCAAAATGTTTCATAAGAAACATACTCTGTTGGATCCCAGTCTGTCCGAGTTACAGTAAACAATGAATAGTATTCGGCAAAGTGTGCTGCTGTTGGTATATTCAAATTCCAATCAAAGAAAGTCAGCATCATCACTTCCAAATCATGAAAGTCTGATGTTGAATACCTATTGTTGGCAACGCTGTTCAGTTGACTGATTTTTGGAGTTCTAATGTCATATTCTTCAAATTTAGCTGGAAGTCAAAAGAACCATTGCTTGTCTCAATGAATACGCATCCAACATTTTCAAAAGATTAATGAGGCATTGGAAAATAAGGTAACATCTGCTACTCACAAGCAATTTGAAGACAGATCAGAGCGACAAGGTGGAGCTTCTCCAATTCAATGTTGTAGTTATCCATAAATATGTCTAAGAGGTAAATTGACAGGTGAACTGTGCATGTGCCCAAGTTGAATTTTTCAGCTCGAACTCGGATCCAGCTTACCAAATATGCCCGGTGTTGAATCTTGAAAGAAAGAGTGAGAGAGAGAGAGAAAAACGAAAAATTATGAACGAATGTAAACATTGGAATGACAAAGGACATGAACTGTACCTGAGGACTAGCGAAGGTGAAGTTCCTTCTGGTAAGTTCTTTCTCTCTGAAAATTTCATGATGTTCAACCGCATATTCAAGGGGCCATGCTTCTCTTAATTTATTACGAGACATCTGAAAGAGGCAACAATGTTTAACACCGAACCAAACCGTGCAAGTGGTAAAGCCCATGGCAGATCGTACGTGGATGTTGGCGAAGACACTGTCAAGGCGTACACTTCTCTTTCGCAGTTGCACAGATACGAGAGGCGAGGGATGATACCTGCTTCTTCAAAGAGTTGCAGGACCATAAAGCTGGTAATTTACGTCAAGACGGAATGACAACTCCTAAGCGCTATCAATAAATGTGGACGAAGTGCTGTGCTCCGTGCTCCACACGCTTCGCACTCCCACCCAGACGGCGACACTTGACACGCCGGTTGGATAAAGAAACAAAGCTGGCATGGGTAAAAAAAAGTTGCAAATCTCATGGCGTTTTCCGTGCTATATGACATATCGCACTTCTCAAGTGACAAAGACATACCTTTCTTTCATGTCCAAAAGCAGGGTACGTACACATCAAAACTTCAAGTCCAGGCATGTAGCACAAAGGGGTTGGCTACGCGGAAAGGGGCGGGGGCGAAGGGGAGGCTTGTTATTGTTTTCTTAGCTTTCTCGGCAGGTGGTTTGTTTACAATCTGTCTTGTAGAGCGTAACAGCAATGTCAAACTGCATGCATTGCGTTTCACAGTTAGATCTTAATTTCCGTCTTGATTCCCAAAAGTCTCGTGTTTCGTTTATTTTCGGTTCGGCTCCAAACGCCGCAGGTTGTCAAGTTCTTTCTCCCGCCGGCCGCCCCCGGCCGCCCCCTTCTTTCTTCCTCCCTTCCCCCCTTCCCCCCTTCCCCTCCCTCTCGGCTTAGGGCTCAGGCTCGGCTCGGCGGGTCAGTCGGTCAGTTTCCCGGTTTCCCGCCTCCACTCTCCACCGTCGCTTCGCTTACCGTCGCGTTGCCCTGACGACTCGGCTCCGCGCTCCGTATTTACTACTTTGGGTTCAGCGGACTGACGCTGCTTTTATTGTAATTCAAATTTATTTTGTTTGATTTTGTTGTGCAATTGGTGATGTCTTTCAGCTGACATATCTTCCTCTTTAAATCAAACCTTAAACCGTGTTTATAACCTTGCTTCCTGCTTCCTGCTGCAGCTTTGCGCAGTGTTGTTTTGTAATTATCATGGTAATTATAATTTTCTATTTTAACAGGTGAACAATGAGTGACTCAGGTGATGATTTCCCGGATTTGGAGATTGGGTCTCAGTTTATTAGTAAGAAAGTATGTCATTGTAGTTGTCGATTTAATTCTTTGCAATTTCTTTTTAAACAATTAGAGTAATAAAGATAATGTAGCTGTTTCTTAATTTTTTCAACATGAAGAACCCTTGGTCCAATGGGTTGTCTTTCTTCTATCTAGAAATTGTACTCTGCTAGGCAATACACAAATACTGGTCTTCTGTTTTTTAAGAAAATTGATCTTGACAACTTGCTTTTGCGGTTTTATGCCGGTAACAACTACTATTGCAGACCAAATTTCTCTAAAAGGTCCATCTCTTTGATCTGATGGTGGGCAGTACCATTCCAAACCAGTGGATGCAACTGCTTGCACACAGGGACAGTAAATTTGTGGGAACGGTCTTCTGCCTCCGGAAATGTGTGAAGCGTCATGTCAAGCATCAAATTATTGGGATGAAATAAGGAAATTAATTATTTACTTTTATGTATTCATTCTGTGTTTCAGCCTTATGCTGTCACCAGAATTAATGTAGATGCTGAAATAGCTCAGAACCGTGCAAGAAAAGAGCTGAAAAGACAGATCGAAGAACATCAATTGGTATTTGATGACCAAACTGAAGGTGAGTTTTTGATCCCTCTTCAATTTTCGTAAAGTTTTTTTTTTTTTGTATTAAGAATTAAAAATTATTGGTTAGTGTTTGTGCATGTTGAAACCTTTTGCTTTTTCTATTCAGATCAAATCAACATACCAGATTTACCCAAACCAACAATTTGTGCCTTTCCTCCTTCAAGACAATTTTTTCACCCCGATAGGAGCTTGAGAACTTTTAACTGTGGTAAGAGATCACACTTCAACCTTATGATTGACTGTGTTGACTTTTCTTGACTTTTTATGATGATTTTCAGATTCCCTCACAACTGAAAAGCTGGGGCCCTCCAAATTTTTTAAATGCTCATCAGAAAATGCAGACGAATTCTTTTCTTGGGTCAGGTCTAAATTCAAGGTTAGTTACAGTGTACGCAGTTTATGCGCAAATGATTATAACCCAGTATCATCAATGTACTTTCAAATCTGAGGAAAATCTGCAATTTATGCATTGTTCCAGACTTCTGATGATGACCTTCAACGACAATATCTCCAATATTTGTGGTTGTTGATGTCGTGCCACCCAAACGAATTTATTGTTCAGAATTGTTATGATTTATTAATAGAGTACAATTCGTGCTGGAAACTAACTTTTGAAGAAGTTGTCCTAGTATTTTACAATTGGGGTAAATCCTTGTGTCTTAGTTATTTCTGAAATATCAGCTTCCTACCAGCTACTGTCATTAACTTGAGTGTTTCTCTCACACAGGGGCTTCTCCAAGTGACTTTGTTTCAGAACATGACATTGAGTCTATAATTTCCAATTTGGACTGCAGTATTTTGATTTCTCCTGTAAATGTTGAGAAAGTGAGTGAAAATACACTTGTCCCTGTTAAAGTAGTCAATGTTCAAAAGGTTTGCTAACATGATTCTTAACCTTTTGTTTTCTATTTGTAGTTTTGTTCTCATACCTTATGTTCCGTGTGCATTTATTTCTTAATTTTAAAATAACTCAATCAGTCATTCTTTAAGTGTTACTATTATTAACGATTTCCTTGCAGGTTTTACAAGTTTTATCCTATCAACTGTCGTGCAACAATTTAGAAGGAAGCCAAAGCTGCAAAAAGTCCATCTTCATTTTACTAACTCTTCTAGTGCTTGATAAGAACTATTATTCCTGTCTGTCATCTGTTCATGCTTGTTTAGAACACTTGGCCAACTCACAAACCTCACCCTGGGTAAGAAAAGCAAAGTATTATTGATATGTGTTTATTAAGTTTTTCAAATGTTCGAACCATAGCCAGTTTTTCATTCTTGTTGACAGATCGCGGAGTATTGTGAGTCATTACTTCAAACAGTATCACATCATGCTGAAGTTGCATTCCTGTCAGAATGTGTAGTTCCTGAATGTATGCGTTGGTGCCTTTGTGTGGCTCATTGTCAACAAGTATTCTCACTGCAACAGACCTTTGTTGCTGACTCTGATGTAAGCAGAGATAAAAGTACAATATTTGCAACATTTTCAAAGCAGGTGACTTAAATATTCTAAATTATCCTCTTTAATTGCAGCCCTTGCTCTTGATGAATATTCTTTTGGGGAATTTCGACACTTTCTTAAAATTGGAATCTTGGGAATTGTATTCCTTGGTATCAATTGTTGACTCAGGATTATCTCAAGTGGTTTCCTTTGAAACGGATCATGTATGTATCATTTTTGCATTTATTTGCTAGAAGAGTTTTAAATCTGGTTTGGCTACAAGGCGTTTTTATTACAGGACATTAAATGTGGTTTTCTTGATTGGTTAAATCAGTTCATGGAAAGAAAATTTGAACGCAGAACTCCAGATATTGATGTGGATGCAACTCTTATAGTGCAACTTGTCAGTCGTTTGCAGGCTGAGTGGGAGTCAACATGGGTTCCAGAACCCTCAGTACCTCTTGACGCAGATCTTGTTGTTGAAAAGGCTGATGCCGATTCTGATTAAGGGTTCTTGTAAAATTTTAAAAAACTAATACAGATTGTATCAACACGTTGGTTGTTACAGAAATATCTAGGTTGCCTCTTTTTGTTCCCTTTCCCTAATTATGAATAAACAAGTAACTGCCAAAGAGCCAACCAAGGCATCCCTCTTCTCCAAAAACCTGTCCATTTTTGTCTTGCCGATTCTTATTGGGAAGAAACGCTTATCACTCTTTGAATCTCAAATTTTGAAAGGAGGTGGTAAGGTTTGCTCACTTAGTCAAGTGAAGAGTGGTGAAGCAAATCCTACACTTATTGTTGTAGAAGATTCTCTTTTACAAAACTCCAAAATTTTGGAGCAGCATTTGAAAGCGTACAAAAACATGGGATCATGTACTGTTGTTGGTACTAAATGGCTGAGTGACTCTATAAAATTCCACAAATGCATGAGTTTTGAAAATTACAAGCCTCATAATCAGCCATCTTATGATGAGGACTGTTTGCCACCGAAGAAACAAAAGCTATCTGAGCAAGGTCGAGAAAACTTAAGTAATAATTTTGCTCTATCAGAACCGTCATGCTCCAAGGAGACAATTGAAGTAGAAGTAAGCACTTCTCATTGCTTTGTGCCTACTCTTTTTGTTTAAAGACAAATAAATTGACTGGTTCATCCTTTTTATTTTACAGAAGTTTGCCTGCTCACAAAGTTCCTCTGTAAACACCAGTTTAGAAGAAAATAAGATTGTAATTCAAGAGCTACAAAAACTAGCTGATGCTTTCCGTATAAAAGGGGACACATGGCGATCCCATGGATACACTAAAGCCATCAGTGCTATTAAGAGATGTGGGAAAGTTCTCTCTAGTTATGAAGTTAGTTGTCATTTTTCAATGAGTTTTAGTACTTTATACTATAGTAATGTAATAATTTTTCTTTTTCTCTAAAAGGATGCTGTTAGTTTACCTGGTGTAGGTGATAAAATAGCTTCAAAGGTTTGGGAAATTTTAGAAACTGGCCGCCTTAGAAAAGTCTCAGAGGTCTGTGAAGACAGCAAAACTAAAGTATTGCAACTTTTTACAAACATCTGGGGTGTGGGCCCATCAACTGCTGAGGCATGGTATCTGCAGGTATTTAAAATCTTAATTTTAAACAAAGCAAGATACAGTACAACACTTTGTTTCTTTCACTTTTCTTTTCGTAGGGCTTTTGTACTTTAGATGATCTGAAAGAAAAGGGGACTCTCACTAAACAACAACAAATCGGCTTAAAATATTATCAAGATTTTTTGGAAAGAATTCCTAGAATTGAAGTTGAAGAAATAGGAGAGCTTGTGAGTGTCTTCAGATTGTGCACTGTAGTTTTCTTTTACTGAGTTCAAAACATTTTTGTTAAGTTTATTGCGCCTCAATTTTTTTAGGTCTCTGTGATGGCGAAATCAATTCAACCCCAGTTGACAGCAACACTTGTTGGGTCATATCGAAGAGGCAAAGAATCTTGTGGGGATATTGATGTGATGATATGCAAGCCAGATCATCTTGACTCTAAGAACATTCTTTCGCAGCTATTGGAATCCTTAAAGAATTCAGGTGACTTCTCATTGGATACTTTTGATGATGGAGATACTTTTTGGTTCATGTTTAAATATACTTATCTGAAAGTTTTGTTGTCCAGGTTTGATTACAGACGACCTGGTTAGCATAGAGAAGGATGGAAATGAACGCAAGTATCTTGGGGTTTGTCAGCTTCCAGGAGAAAATAAGAAAGTATGCATTAAAAATGAAGAAAACTTTTCTGTGCAAGAGTTTATTTTATTTTATATAAATTTTATTTTATTTATCTTTTACCTCAGCATAGAAGATTGGACATATTTTTGGTACAGAAGTCCGAATTGGGTCCTGCCTTGATGCACTACACTGGTTCTGCTCTATTCAATCGCTCAATTCGACTTCTGGCTGCTAAAAAGGGGATGAGTTTATCTGAACACAGTCTTCATGGAGGCATTGTACGAGAGGTAATGAACCCAATGAACCATTTCATGCTCTCATCTTGTATGTTGAAAAGTATGTGATAATATCATAATATTTTTATCCATTAACCGTAGGGGCTGAAAGTCTTGAATGGAGGCTATATTATACCCACACCAGATGAGAAATCTATATTTGAAGCTTTGGGTTTGGCCTATCGCCCACCAGAAGAAAGAGATCACTGATAGATGTACTTACCTACTACTAAAGACTTTAGTAACGCATGCCAAATAATAAACAATATTTTGATAAATAGTGATAGTTTTATTTAAATCTGGAGGTTGAAGTGTGCCACCAAAGAAAAAGTTCCGCTGGGAGAGTAGACATTAGAATCCTGACCTACCCATTTTAGACCTACAGAACAGATTCAAATAAAATTGTGAAATATATTTGACACCAATTTTGAACTCCGATTGGCGTGAAACTAGCATGATTGACTTCCACCCGCCGCTCCGACAAGCGCGGATTGAGATTTACGGCTGGGCTTATGGGGGCCATTCCCCCTCCTTGGGTACTAGATAGACCGCCCGGATGGTAGGCAACACGCACCACGGTGCCCCTGTATGCAGGCAAAAGGCAGTGCTCTCCCTCTCTCCTTAGAAAAATGCAGGATCCGCTCCTGCGCTCCGATCCTAAGACGAATGCCCATCCTCCCGTATTACTTTGTAAATGCATGAATCGAAGACCGTTCCCATGAGCGAAAGAAGGCCTTTGCCTGGACGTAGTTACTAGCCCGAACAATTATTCTGTCATGCCATCACCCCTTAATCCCTCGATGTCGCCTTGCCGGCCACACGCAATGTTTTTTTTTTTTTAAAAACGAAACACTACGACACCGCGATTGGGGACGTTGCCCGGTGTCACGTGTGGCGTGCGTCGGCCCGGGCCGGACGGATGGCGGGCGCGCGGCTCGAGGCAAAGACCGGTTTCAAGTACGGCGACGACTAGCCCCGCCGATTAAATGTTCAGTCTAGTAGTCCATAAAACAAGTAGTAGCAACTCCTCCCGATAAAAATGGGCGGCAGTTATGCTTACATCGAAAGAAAGAGAGAGGGAGAGAGCATATAGCCGCCACGCCACACATGTATCAAATGAACCAAAATAAACTCGGAGCTCAAAAGCCCTTTACCCGCCTCTTCTCGTGCACAGTTCTAACTCGTGTAAAAACAGCTAGTTCTCCTTTTTCCTGCATGCCAGATCGCGCGGGCCAGGCAGGGCCGCGGCGGCCCGGACGCACGAGCGTTGCCCCTCTTCCGAGTCCCGATGCCTTTCAAGGTGAGCGGTCCAAAAACTGGTCGCCTGCTTCCGTACCGAATACCTGCCGCTGACCAGGAAGGAGTACCGTTTCCTCGAGTGTGTCTTCCGAAAGACAAAGGAAAATGCCAGCAAGCCCAACTAAAATAGGTTTTGTGAAATTTTGACAAACGCCCCCCCCTCCAACTCATAGCGATATGCCGATCTTCCTTATCGGGTGGCCACGCGTGCCGTTTTTGCTAGAGCTGTCTCGGACGGCGTGCCGCCAGTGCTGCGCGTGCTGCGTGCCCCTCGGGGGCCCCGGCCCCCCTCCTCGACCCTCGGGACAGGAGGACCACGTCGCCTGTCAGGGCAGCCAGCGGCAAGCGGCGGCAGTCATCGAGTCGACTTGGGCAGACTTGAGCAGTGCTGGTGTGGTGGAGTCCTGGTGGAGTCCCAGGGGTGTCGCTCCCATCGTGGAGGTGCCCAGTGCCTCGGTTCAGGACAAGAAGTGCGACGAGGACTCCGCAGCCGCCGTCTCGCTGCCGGCATGGAGCCCAAGTGGACCGCCAGCGCCATCTGGGTTGTGGCGGCTGTCCTGTACATCGGCATCAAGTGCCTCATCACCGGGTGCTACGCGGTGGGGTTCATGGTGTTCAAGCAGATGACCACGCCGCGGTGGCTCTTCACGTACAAGCGGCGGCTCGTGCCGCCCAAGAGCCTGCAGGACCCGGACCTGGGCCAGCACGGCTACGTCACGGTCAAGGTAGAGGACAGCCGAAGGTAGGGCCGCGCGCCTGCGGATCGGCGGGTAGGCAACCACGAGCGACAAAGACAAGCGCGCCTGGCGGGCTTGCCTATCCTGTTTGTCGCAGGCGCTCGAAGAAAAAAAAAACATAATACAACTATCGATGGTGTTCGTGTTGGCTGCATTGCAGGGCTTGAAGTTCCACTTCGTTGAGAAAGGAGACCGATCTAAGCCGTTGATGTTATTTTTGCACGGCTTCCCCGATTTCTGGTATTCATGGAGACATCAAATGAGAGAGTTCAGCAAAGACTACTGGTCGGTCGATTGCAAACGAATTTTTCAATATGATTTGGTGTCCCATCGGACATAAAATGAACCTCTGACTTGGTTTCAGGACGGTAGCTTTGGATATGCGAGGGTACGGCGACTCGGACAAGCCGACTGGCGTATTTGATTATTCCGTGACTGATTTAGTGGACGACATCAAAGGGGTCGTAACGGCGCTTGGTATGTGCGACCAGTTCATTTGTGAAACTTAATCCTCGAGAGGAATGTGCATCATGAGCTTTTCTATAGATAGATAAAATATATTTATTTTTGTTTATTGTGCAGGAAGGAAGAAATTCATCCTTGTTGGCCATGACTGGGGCGCTGTCCTATCGTGGTCTTTTTTAGATCGGTACCCAGAAATGATCGACAAGTACATATTGATGAACGGACCCTCTTTGAAGGTGTTTACGCAACTTCTGATATCGTTTTCTTCCGACCAATCTTCCAAATCATGGTATTTTCCTCTATAGCATTTGCACTGTGCCTACCTACTTTATAAAATTATCTATAATAATATAATTTCCTGCCAACAGGTATACATTTTTATTCCAAATACCGTACCTTGCGGAATTATTCGTGAGTTTCAACGACTTTGGAATGTTGCGAGAAACCCTGTTGGGCCACAAAACAAGCAGTCCCTACATTACAGAAGACGATATTGAGGCGTATAAATATAACTTTTCTCAGCGTGGTAAGGGAACACCTCTTGTTAGATGAAAACTAAAATGACCAACGACATAATACTAAATAAAATAATTTCGATTCTAATTTCACTAGGCTATCTGTCGCCTCCACTGCGCTACTACAAAGCAACTTACCAGACAATTGTACGGCAAGGCCTGTTCCCGGACTTCGTGGGCGCCCCGACAACCAGCGGACCAAGGCCACAAGGCCTGTATTTACACGGCGCCCAAGACATTGCGGTCGACAGCAAGTGCGTGGTCATGCTCCAATTTTCAACCGAGAACCTCAAAACTTTGGTCTTGAACGAAGGAAACCATTTCGTCAACCAGGGTGAACCCCTGGCCGTCAACAACGCCATACGATCATTTCTTCAATAACTTATTTCAATGTTATATTTTGTCCATTTTCAGCTCAATACACTTTATTTATCATACAGCAACCAGTTTTCTTGTCTCTTTCTTAGTCTTTCCTGAACCCTACTAATCTTACGTGCTGCGGGAGGCAATCTAGAACGAGTACAAACGACCGCAGAATTTGGTTAAAAACTAGCTCACGCAGGTCCCCCGACGGTCCCCCGAGGCCCCCGACTGGCCGAGAGTGAAAAAGTAGCGGCCGCCCCGATAGAAGACTTGGGTTCAGTTCCCAGGCGTGGCCGCACGCCGATGCCATGCTTTTGCACGTCTTCCCTGCAACGTGTTAAAGCGATGCTCTACCTTCCCCGGCGCTGTGCCACAGAAGGGCGCCGCAACAATCCCGGGCGTGGCACACAGAGACATTTCGGGTTGTCCTTTCATGCTTACTACCATCCAAACCGTGATGCTGGACAGTGTGTTGGGTCAGGCGCGGCAAGGCTGTGGCATGTGTTCTCCAACCAATGATAATGAGAATACAATGAGTCACAATACAACACTTCATTGAGAAAATTATTCAGTTTAATAACAACGAATGTTTGGTGGTTCTGCAGCACACATGGCAACGAAATATATATATACTTATAGAGTAATTTATATAATATTATCAAGAATTTATTTCATATGTAATATAAAAGGCTTAAAAGATTGCAACACACTTAAACATGACAATTACATTTAAATCTACAGGTTGAAAAATGGAAAATTCACAATTGAATTTGTTAGGTAATGTACATAAAGGACAAGAAGAGATATGTAAACTATAAGCTCAATCACAGTGTTCCTGTTTCAACAAAGATGAAGGAAAAATTCAATGTCAGGAATAAATTAATAACAATTAATATTTACATTTAAAATCCATGGTTCTTTGAGTTTGCAGTCACCAATGCTGAAACAAGAAAGTGAGACTGACATAGATGCAAGTAGCGATTTAAAAAAAAGACTACTCCACCAGGGAGTAGGGGCTTATCATAAGGTGAAGAATAAATTAAAGTGCTTTAATGGAAATAGGTAAAAAATCTGACACACAGAGGAAAGTGTTATTAAATTATATAGTACTTAAACGTGTTGATAAAAAAGTATCACAGAAGGTTTTGTTATGACTAGAATGGGCAACAACAACATTAACAACAACCGTAACAAAAATTACATCTTTCTGGTTCACATAAATTAATGAGAAAGAGGGGTAAAGTAAGAGGAATGGGAGAGATTCAATAAAAGAAAGACGAGGAAAAGTCCACTCAAATCAAGTGTCCTCATCGTGTCTTAGTCTTGCTGAATTCACGTTTCTACTGTTCACGAAAGTTAATTTTTTTCGGACCCAAGCTTGAGATACGCCACTGTGTGTCGAACTCACAGTTGCTCAGGGCCACACTTTTGCCTCCGGGGCGGCGGGCATTGGAAAGGGATGACCAGGTGGGGCCCCAAGGGGGTGCCCCAAGGGGGTGCCCCAAGGGGGTGCTCACTTCCAGAGCCAGGACAGCCTCCTGAGTACGGGCTGAGCGGGCAGCGACGCCCGCGGCCGCGGCCTCGACATGGAGGGGGTGCTGGGGGTTGGGACGTCCCCGGAGGCAGGCCCGGGCTATGACTTCCACACCCGAAGCTTCTTCAGCGACATCTTTTTCAGGTTGGACACGGCGGAGCGCAGGTCACCGTCGCGGCCGTCGTCGTCACTCAGGGTCTCGCCTTCCGAGTGCACCTCGCGGCCGCGCTGAGCGAGGCTGGACGCCCTGGACACCCCCGCACTGCCCGCGCCGCCCGCGCTGCCGCCCCGCGCCCCGCGCGTGTGGGACGTGTGGGACCCACTTTGCCGCGCCAGCGGGTCGGACAGCGCCTCCTGCACGGGGGTCTTCTCCTTGGCCGCGCTCACGCCGGCCGCGGTGGAGCGCGCCTCGTCCAGCACCTTGCGCACCATGTTCTGCGTGGCGGTGCGGAGGTTGTAGCCCACGCGGTGCCGCCGCGACGCCTGGGGCGTCACCTCGTCGCGCTCGCGCAAGATGAAGCGGCCCATGGTCTCCCAGTGCGCCTGCGTGCGGTACACGTTCTCCTCGTCGGCCAGCACGCGGTTCTGCTTGGTGGCCGTGCCGCCCGCCGCGCCCGCCACGCCCCACTCCAGCTCCTCCATGAGCACGAAGCGCGCGGGGTCCTCGAGCCGACGCGCCTTGACTAGCGCCTGCGCCAGCACGTCCTGCGCGCACGCGGACCGCGGCGCCTTCAGGATGGCGTACGGGATCTCCGGCGACACGTTGTACACGCACACCATGAAGTTGTCCTCTTCGTCCCAGGTCTTGTTCTCCGTCTTGCTCTCCGCCGGGTTGCCCTGCTGGCCCGCGCGCCGCGCCGACGCCGTGCTGCGGATGGAGGACAGCCAGGCGCGGCTCGACGGGTCGTCGCCGATGCGCTTGAGCAGGAAGCGGCCCTCGCCCTGCCACGCGGCCTGCGCCTGCAGCGGCCGCTCCGCCACGTCCAGGACGCGCTGCGCCGCGGGCTCATCCTTGCCCTTCTTCTCCCAGGACCGCGCCACCTCCTCCACCAGGATGTAGTCGTGCACCTTGTCCGCGCCCAGGCCCGCCTTCTGCAGCGCCTGCAGCAACACCTCGTGCGTCGTGGACTCCTGCAGGGGAAGCCGGGCCAAAGAGAAATTAGAAATCGGGTGGCCCCAGCAGAGCTTTACTTCGGCCCGAGTGCCAGCTGCGCACTGCTGCGATTCCTACCTGCGTGATCTTGAGGATGGTCGGCTCCTCCGGCACCACGCCGTGCACCATCAGGAAGAACATGCGCCTCTTGAGCGGCACCAGCGACACGGCCTTCTTGCTCTCCTCGGCCGCCTCCCTACGCGGCAGCATGGCCAGCGTGCCCGCCCCCGCCGCCGCCAGAGCGCTCGCGCCCCCGCCCTTGGCAGCGGCGACGGCGGCGGCGGCAGCGGCGGCCGCGTCGCCGTCCTCCATGGTGGCGCCGTTGTAGTCCACGCTCTCCTCCTCCATGCGCGAGTAGATGAAGAGCGTGGACAGCGGCAGCGGCTGGTTCTGCATGCTGCGCAGGCGCAGGTGCCGGTAGCCCGGCCGCAGGCAGCGCAGGGGCACCACGCGCTGCGCCAGGATGTGGCTCGTGGCGGCCTCCTGCACCGTGAAGCGCAGGAACGCCAGCTCCCGGAACATGATGTGGAACGTGAACTCGTTGTTCCAGATGGGGTTCAGTGCGTTCCGCTGCACGATCTGCAAACGAAACACAAACATTATCATTTCACATTTGCTTCGAAACCGACAAGTTTTTATAGTGTGCGTGAGCACTGCTTACCTTGGTGCGCTGCTTGGCGTAGTCCGCCTGGATGCCGACCACCTCCACCTCGACCAGCACGCTGGTGAGCAGCGCGTTGGGGCACACCCACTGGCCCGAGATGACGTGCAGCGAGACGTGCGACGAGTGCAGCCCGTCGAACTCCTTGTCGTACGGGTTGAAGCGGCGGTACATCATGTGCGACCGGTCCCACATGAGGGACGGCTTCATCACGAAGCCGCACCGCCCGTTGGACTCGAACATGGCGTGGTTCAGGTGCACGTGCAGGTCCTCGGTCTGGTAGTTGAGCGCCACCATCTGGATGCCGAAGCACCAGTACACGATGGGGTTGAAGTTGGACGAGTCGATGCGCATGCCGGCCGGGTAGGTGCGCATGAGCTGGGTCTCGGTGTGGGCCAGCACGGCGATGGGCTGCTTGCGGCACAGCTTCTTGGCGCTGTTCTCGTTGAGCGAGCTGCACTGGTAGCAGGGGTGGTAGGGGCTGACGCGGCCCGTCCGCGTGGGCTCCACCGCGGCCACGGCAGTCGCGGCCGCGATGCCCGCGGGCGCCGGCGCCTGCCCCGTCGACGGCGGCGTCCCCGGCGCGCTGGAGGCGCTGGAGGCCAGCACGAGCGCGGGCTGCGTGGCCAGGCCGGCCGCCGCCTTGTGCATCATCTTGGTGGCCGCCATGCCTGCCGTGGCCAGCGGCTTGGACTTGTTCTTGATCGAGCTGTTGGGCGAGATGGTGTTGAGCCCCCGGAACTTGATCGCCTGGATGTAGATGACGAGGTCCGACAGCTCCTTTGCGATCTGCGAGGACTGCTTCTTGAGCTTCTGCGGCCCGAACTCGTCTTCCGTGGGGATGCCCCAGTCGATGCGGCCGCTGGGGCCGGGCACCACCACCACGTCGGTCTTGTGCAGCGTCTGCAGCGTCTGCAGCGTGCTGTCGTGGCTGGAGACGGAGTCGGTGCGCGCCGGGCCCTCGATGTTCTCGTCATCGTCATCATCGTCGTCGTCGTCGTCATCGTCGGAGAAGTCGTTGACGGAGCCGCCCGAGGTGTTGGAGATGATGGACGAGGCCCTGGGCTGCTTGGTGGACGCGCCGCGCGCGTGCGCCCCCGCGCCCCCAGGGCCCTGGCCGGCCAGGCCGTGCTGCGTCGAGGGGGCGGGCGCGTGGCCGCGGGGAAGCCCCAGCGACGGCGGGACGTCCACCATCAGCTTCTTGTTCTTGATGAGGATCTTGTTGCGCAGCTGTGAGGGTGACGGCAGTTGCGGCTCGTCCGTGAAGTCCGTGTCGAACATGTACTTGGAGACCAGTTTGTCTCCGAACACCGACTGAAAAACCCGCGGTAAAGATTAAACCTCAATGTTTTCAAGTGTCGTTCCTCCTATCTAGAATCCAATTTTCCTAAAACGCGCTAGTCTATTTTTCGGACTTGCCTGGAAGATGTGCGCCATGCGCGCCTGCTGCGGCAGCGAGCAGTGGTTCTCGATGGACAGGATGACGGGGTAGGGCGACGTGACGAAGGCCGACTTGTTGATGGCCTCCACCACGGAGCGGAACGGGATCTTAGTGGTGAACGTGTGGCCGTGGTAGATGAGGGGGGTGCCGTCGTCGCCGTCCCAGCAGTCCAGCTCCACACAGCGGCAGCCCGTCAGCAGCACCTGCCGCAACAGGCAACAACAACCGTCAACAACTGTCACGCTCTAACAACCGGAGACGGACGCACAGTGGGCCAGATGACTGGTGGAGGTGGCCAAGAGTCTAGACGCGTTTTGAGCTTTAGAGTTGCTAAATCGGACTCGAACCGAACGTGTGACACCAACAACTGATTCCTCGTTCGGAGAGCAATTCATTCGTGGGGTCACACGTTCGGTTCGAGTCCCATTTAGCGACTCTGGAGCTCAAAAGGCGTCTAGAGTTTCGGCCGCCCCCACCGGTCTTCTGGCCCAATGTGGGACGCGGTGTCTGCGGCACGGCACACACCTGGCTGTACAGCTCCACCGAGGACTCCCCCTTGAGCTGGTGGCCCGTGAGGTAGGTGTTGTGGCTGGAGGCGATGTAGTAGTGCGACATGGGCTGCTCCATGTCGGCGTCGTCCGGCGACATGCGCTCGCTCACGAAGGCGTAGTTGTCCTTGTCCATGAGGAATCGCGCGAAGCCCTCGAACGAGAGGCAGCACTGCGCCCGCAGCATGGGGTCGGGCTCGTGGCGCTGCACCAGCTCGCGGACCTGCGGCACGGTGCGGACAGCCGTCAAGCGCGTGGCCGCGAACCAATGTCGAAACCCGTCCGTCTGTCCCACCCACTCACCTCGTCCTCGGTGCGCTGGTCCAGCTGCTCCGTCTCCAGGAACTTGATGAAGTTGGAGAGCGTCACGACCTGGCTCTTGGATGTGTCCACGCCGGCGCAGTTGTTGACGATGGAGGCGGCCGCGATGGCGTCGTAGATCTTCTTCTTCTGGAGGTTGGTCGTGCAGCTCTTCAGCTCCGTCATGTCGAGCGAGCTGTTCCTCGTGAGGAGGCCTGCGCGGGAAGACAAGGCGATCGAGGATTAAGACTGCACCGATCGAGAGGGTGCTTCGGGGTGCTTGGCCTGCTTGCCCTGCTGGGCTTACCTATTCGCTGCGGCGGCTTGGGCGCGTGCTCCGGGCTGCTCTTGGCGCTGGCGTCGTTGAGGGAAGAGTCCGACATGGACCTGCAGGTGACGGCGTGCTTGTCGAAGAGGTCGCGCAGGTCCTTGCGGGCGCGCAGGCTGTTGGGACAAGGGCACAGAAGCATTAGACCGAATACCACGGACACTTCCATGGGAGAGGGAGGGGTGGCGCACCTGAAGGACCGGAACAGGGACACGTAGTCGGCGAAGTCGAGCTGCGTCTCCTGCGTGATGGAGCCGAGGCGGAAGTGCCTCCAGAGCGGCTCGCTGGCGCCGCCCTTGCCGGCCGCGCGGTGCAGGCTGTGGTGCGTGGGGCTGCACGACGAGATCTTGTCCAGGTTGTCGGAGGAGCCCTGCGGGCTGGCCACGGCGGGGTGCGGCCGCACCTCCATGTCGCTCGAGATGGACCTGGAGCGGCTGGGCGTGTTGATGGCCATGGCGGGGGACGTGCCGGGGGTGGGCGACGGCCCGCCAGAGCCGACGCCGGGGCGCCGCAAGTGGCAGGAAGCGGCGCCGTCCGCGTCCGCCTGCTTCAGCGTCAGGTCCTTGAGCACCGGGATGTTGCTTATGGACTTCTTCTTCTTGAACTTGATGGACGCCCCGCGCCGCAGCGTGCCGTTGTCCGGCGGCGACATGCGGCTCACGGTCCCGGCCAGCGTCCAGTCGCGGCCGCCGAACACGCGGATGGCGTCGGCGACCATGGGCCCGGCGCAGACTTCGTCGAAGTAGAGCTGCAGGTACTGCTCCTTGAGCCACAGCATGCGGCGGTCCGTGAGCTGCATCTGGCGCTTGATGCCGCGCACCACGAGGCTCAGGCCCTGGTACCACATCTGGCAGACCTGCGGCGGGCACAGCAGGTACAGCACGCGGTTGTCGGACAGGTTGGTGCCGAAGACGAGGGCCAGGCAGCAGTCCTGGGGGTGCAGCCGCTCCATGTTGTAGCGCTTCAGCACGTTGGCCAGGTCGGGCTCCTTGTCCTTGTCGCGCACGCCCAGGGCGATCTCCTTGACGGCCATGAGGTCCAGGTAACCCTCCTCCAGGGACACGCTGGCCATCTCTCCCGCGGGCGCTATGAGCTTGGCGTTGAGGCCGGGCGCCACCGTCTCCTCCGGGTTGGCGGACAGGCAGTAGTCGGCCCCGGAGGAGCCACTGCCGGAGCCGCTGGCCTTGCTGAGCCCCGACCAGGCGGGCCGCCCCCACGTGAGCGTGCCGCAGGACCGCTCCAGCCGCACGTACACCAGCGCCGTGCGCGAGTTGTAGTCGGGCTCCCAGTGCACCGACGTGGTGCCGTGGTGCAGCACCTGCAGCACGTGGTGGTCGATGCCGGAGCTGGAGATGGGGAAGAAGGACACGCCGTGGTCGTGGGCCAGCGGCTGCACGGGCCGGTACGTGTCCAGCTCCAGCGCGTAGTGCCGGTCCTCCGTGTCGTCCACCAGGTAGCCGCGCTCGATGGAGGCCGTGTGGATGCTGAGGTGGTCGCGGTGCGGGTCGCGGTGCGGCGCGGGGTCGCGGTGGCGCGCGTGGTAGTGCTGGTGGAAGCAGGCGATGCGGTCCATCACGGCCTGCGTGCGGTACACCTTGTCCAGGTTGATGAGGCCGCCGTGACCGATCCGCGTGAAGAAGTGGTCCTCGCCGTTGTAGTCCGAGATGAACTGCGGGGCAGGACGCAATCGAGTCAAGAGCTGTCATTTTGAAGCTTCTGGAGAAATTTCAGGGTAATTTCTCTTTGCGTGGAAATTAATAGGTGTCCGCGTTAGGCCCTATCCTTCCAGACCCATACACCGATGAAGAAACGAGAAAAAACGCAATCTACGTAGAGAATCTAAGCATTTGAAGGAAAAACGTCTAACAAAGAAACACGCCCACATGGAGAAGAAGTCGGCCAGACCGACTCCACAGCCTCAGTCAGCATGCATTGTAAAGTCTACTCACGAACATAACATGTCCTCACAATGCATTCCACAGACCGCTAAAGACATTCCGAAAACACCCACAAAAAAACTACACACATCGAAAAAACTGTACCATGCTGATTTCAACCAAAGAACACCAAAACACCAAGACAGGAAACACTAAAAAAATACGATGATGAACAAATAAAAATTGAGGGGAGAGAAGGTGTGGTAAAGCGACGACCATGTGATGATCGCGCCGTAAAGGGGGTGTGGCTCGGTGTGGCTCGGCAAGGCGCGGCAAGGCGCCTTCCCACCATTCCATAGCCACGCCTATGCCACTGTTAACGGCGTTCAAAATGCCAACCCGTCGCCGCAAAATGTCGCCGCCAAACTGGCTGGCCCGCTGCGGGCAGCCCAGCCCCAGATGCACCCCCTCCCCCTCCCCGTAAGGAAAATGTCAGTTTCTCGCTGGAACCCCGCGGGTGTCCGAGTCGGAACAAGCCTTCGGTAAAGTGGGTTAAGAAAGAAAATGAAAGAAAATCGAGCTTTAGGTATCGTGCAGGGCATGCTGTTTTTAGACATCTCTCAGGGGCTGGGTTAAAATCCGGGGCGAGTGGATCAGTTCCTCGAGGGTTGGAACCTGCAGGGCAGTTCGCGAACCCCGGTCACGCCCCGAGTGGCTCTGCCTGCTTGCCTTTTCCCACAGCCGGTGCACCACATGGGGGCAGCTGCGGGGCGGGGGAGGGGGAGGGGGGCTAGACTACGGCGAGGGCCTCTGCGAGCACTACGAGAACACCGTGCAGTAGTAGAGGTAAGTACCACTGGCCGCTCTTTCTGCTTGTGGCCGCGCGGGCCCAGGGCCGCGGCGCCGTGCCCGTGGCCCTGGAGGCCCTGGAGGCCCTGCAGGTGGCCGGGGCCGTGTCGCGAGGTGGAGGTGGAGGTGGACGTGGAGGCCGTGTTGGCGGCCCGGATGCCGTGCTGCTCACGCTGCTCGCTCACCTCGAGTCGGCCGCCCATGATCGCGTCACCGCCCCCCGCCGCCCCCAGGCCTGCGGCCGCGGGGCCGCCGGTCGGGGAGGGCGAGGTCGACGATGGCGCGAGCACCACCAGGCTGGGCGTGTCCTGGACGATGTCGCGCAGCTCGCGCAGGAAGGCGCCGAAGAACGGCACCACCCGGCACTCGGGCATGGCGAGCGCGCGGTGCAGGGCGCGCTCGTACTCGGCGGACAGCAGCGCCGCGGACAGGAAGTCCAGCACGGGCAGGGACTCCTTCTCCGTGATGGAGAGCCAGAACGGCTTGAGCTTCTCGGACCTGCGGCAGACGCGGGCAGGGTGAGGACGCCGAAGGCACAAGGGACTGGTCGGGGCACTGCAAGTCGGTCAGAACACAAACATTATCAACATTCAACAGTTTTGGCAGAAGGACAAAGCCGGGCAATGTTTAGGACGGCGCGCTGGGACGGGTGGTCGGCTGGCTCCTCGTCGTCGTGATGCCCCTCGCGGTGCAGCCTGGTGCAGCACGCGGCCCGGGGGCAAGTAGTTTCCGCCGGCCTACAGGCTCTCAAATAGCTGAAGGCCGAAAGAAACCCCTTCCCCCGAGCCGTCAGTCTGGAGTCGGCGTGGCGCGGCGTGGCGCGGCGTGGCCTTCCTGCCGGGACGGCAAGAGGCGACCCTGGCAAAGAAACGACGCTGACCCTTCACTCTGCCTCCCTCCATCGCCACTCACTTTAGTCCCGCCACGATCTCCATGGCGCCGTTGAAGTTGCCGATGTTCCAGCAGGACAGCCCCACGCGCAGAATGCACGACAAGAAGGCCTTGCGCTCCTCGTGGGTGGGCTGGGAGATGATCAGGTTGGTCACCCATGATGACACCTGCGCGGAGAGGCCAGTGGGTTACATCGGAGCACGTCAAGAAAAGAGACTCAAAGAGCGGTTCAGCCGAGCAAAAGTCCCACCTGAATGAATCTGTTGATGAGCGTCCGCACGGACGGCTTGCTGTCGTCGTGGCTGGCCTGCGCCGCCCCCGCACCCCCTCCTGCACCGCCCCCGGAACCGCCCCCGCCGGCCCCACCGCCGCCGACGCCGAGGTCGAGGGTGACGTGGCGCAGGTAGTCGATGGGCTGCACCTGGTAGAACAGGTGGTACTCGGTCTCGGCGAGGCGCAGGGCCACCTCCTCGGGGAAGTGCAGGAGCTTGAGCAGGGTCTCCAGCTCTTCGACTTGGGGAGGCAACAGCGGCCGCTTCTCGATGCCCGACGGGCCCGACGGACACAGGAAGGAGTGGTCCTCCAGGAAGTGGCTGTCGAGCTCTTGCAGAATCTCCCAGAGCGCCTTGCTCACGTCGCGCATGTCCGTCGGCGTGGGCACGACCAGGGACCAGCGCGTGGCGCGGAACTCCAGGTGGAGGCGGTCATGGGAGCGGCCCCCACAGGTACGCCACTGCACGAGGTCGGTCGTCTCCTGCGACTTGGCGAGGATCTTGGTCTTGTTGTCCAGCAACACGATCTTCTGCGGACCAAGCCCCAGCAGTCTGGCGGTCTGGAAGCAAGGAAAGCAGAACCGCTTCAGCACGGCCGGACAGGGCGGCAGGCTCTGCAGGTGCCCGATTGACTCTGTCCTCGACGAGCCTTTCAGAGTGTGACAAATGCCCGGCACTCGGGCTGCGCGGCCAGGACCAGGCCGACCAGAATGACCGTGACGGATCGGTTCAGCGACGCCATTATCGTAAATTTACATTCCGGCGGGGCGGGGATCAAAGCCGAGGCCATGCGCCCTGCGCCTTGCCGCGCATGCATTACCGCCCGGACCCCAGCCGCCCTGGACCCGGGCTGCGGCGGGGCCTCGGCCGGGGCCGCCGGGCTGAGAGAAGCCAGGGGCAGAAGCCAGGGGCAGAAGCCAGCGAAGGCGGCCCGCCGCATTGTGGGACAAATTTACTCGCCAGGCTTTTGAAACGCAATTACCGCGACACGCTTATGCCGCTGTGTTATTGCGCAGCAGCAGCGCAGTGCGGGGAGCGGCGGAGGGGAGGGGGGAGCGGCCGGGGAAGGCCGCCTGCCGAGCGGCGGGTAGGCAGCACGCAGCGCGGCGGTGGCGGCGCTCGGCCTACCTTCGAGGCGGCCGCAGCCAGGCAGGCAGCCAGGCAGCCAGCCAGTCCCGAGAGGCCGCGTGGGTGTGGGAAGGACAGAGAAGCGAGACGAGCGTGACGCAGCGGACAGTCGACGTATATCGGAGTCGGAGCGGAGAAGCCTCCAATACAGAATACAGCCCGGACGACTGGCAGGCCGCCGGGCCGGCCGGCAGGATCAGGGCCAATACCAGGGGGATTACTCCGACCACGTGGGCTCCCGGTTTAATCGCCCAGTTCCCCGAAAAGAAAGACGAGAGGGAAGCGGCGAAACACATTTGCCGCGCCGCACTTGGACTACTACTCGTTTGACGGGATCCTGGTTCGGGTTGGTGGCTCTAGCCGGGTGAACGCCAGCTTATCAACGCACCCACCCATTCGCCCGCTCCCCGGCCCTCACGCACTCCCACTCCCCCGCTCCCAACCCCGCACGCCACGCAGAGCTGACCAGTCAAAATGGCCCGGCTTCTATACGGAGCTGCTAAGCCCCAGAGAGATGGGGAGGTGGGAAGCGAGGTAAGCAGATTATGAGGGAATCGAAAGGAGCGCGGCGCACGGTCGGACGGACGGACGGACGGACGGACAGGACGGACAGACAGACAGGCAGTGCCTTACCTTCTTCTTGGTCTTGCCTCCGCGCTGGAGCTCCTTGACGGGGTAGACTCGGCAGCCGTGGGCGGGCAGGCGATGACACGTCTGTATGTAGAGCTTCTTCAGCTGGACCTCGTAGTCGTACACCGAGCTGTGGAACAGCTTCCTCTTTTGGTCCTGCAACACACAGAGCGCGCGTCCCTTAGCACAGCAAAGTCGCGCAACGAGTCTCTCCGGAAGCAGGCGCCTGCATGCCTGCATGCTGATGCGGCAAACTCGCATCACTCGGACTCCAAACAACAACAACAACAAGCGCAACAACGTTCCTCACGGCGCCTCGCAGCTTCGCGGGACGCTTCCTTCCGTTCCAGCCGCTCGGCCGCGGCACGCGGAACACCCTTCCAGGAAGGCAGCCGTTTAGTTCCGGCAGGGCCACTGCGTTCCGCGGCCGGAACCAGAGCGGAACGCAAAAGGGAGGGGGGAAGGGGCGGGGGGTGAAAAAAGCACGCCGCCATCCGGACAGAAGAGACGACGGGAGGAGAATCTTTGGCCTGCCGGCGAGAGAGTGGCCGACTGTACGGCGGTTAGTTCCGCAGCGCGGACGAAACGGCTGTAACGGCCCTGGGAGGGGGGAGAGAGAGAGGACAGAGTGCAGGCACCCCAAACGAACCGCATGTACACTACGGTGTCACACTCACTCACTCTCTCTGCCCCCCCTCTCTATCTCACACACACTGACACACACAGGCGGGGGGGGGAGAGAGAGAGAGAGAGAGAGAGAGAGAGAGAGAGAGAGAGAGAGAGAGAGAGAGAGAGAGAGAGAGAGAGAGAGAGAGAGAGAGAGCACGCATTTCTCGGCCGCCCTTCGACGACACGATCGCCTCTAACTGCCCGGCGATAAATTGCGGCTCAGCAATTACTGCGCGTTGCAGGACCATGGCAGGGAGAGACGGCGGGCACCACAAGCTGGGCGACGCGACACGACGGGCGGGGGCGGCGCAAAGCCCTCGTACCCACTTTGATCTAATCCGGGCCGATTAATCGATTAGTCGCCGAGGTTTTGGAACGACGGGCGACGGCGAGGCGGGCGGCGTTCTTTCTCTCCGGGGACGGAGATCGAGACAAGGCTTGCCTGTCCCCGGCAAATTTAAGCTGCGGCCGGTGCACTTTTGGCGGCGTGGTGCGCAGCCTCGCTGCAGGGCCTGTCCGGGACCCGGCCTCGGCGCCGAGGCCTCCAGGGCGGCCACCCTCCCGACTGCACTTCTGCGTGAGATTTAGTGTTCAATTTACTAGGCTGCTGCTACGTCGTGCTTCGCCGTGCTCCGCCGTGCTCCGCCAAGCTTCCCCATGCTTCGCACTGCGACGAGGCCGGGGCAGTGTGGTGGCTCTTCCCGTCTCCGTTGCTCGTCCCGTCCGCGCCACTGTTGCCTTCTCTTTCACACTCTGCGCATCGTCGCATCGTCTTTCCCCGAAACGTCCCCACCCCACCCTCGCCGCCCCTCCCCCAGCCCCGCGATCGCAGCACAAATCAAACCGCAGCGCGTATTCTCTTCCTTGGGACAATGCGGACGCGGGGGGTGGGCGGGCCCCGCGGGGCGGCGTGGCGGTGGGGAGTCGGCGCCTGCCCGCCGCCGGGTAGGCACCACGCGCACAGCGGCGCCGCCGGGCTTGCCTACCCTGCAGGCGGGCCGCTGGGCCGCAGTAAATCGAAGCCTGATTCCTGATTCCCGGCGACAGAGCGGAGCGGGCAAAGATTGCAGACCCCTGGCGTGCCGCGTCGCCCCGCGTCGCATCGCGGAGACAACGGGTAGAGCAGGAGCAGAGCACCCCGGAGCCCCCGAATAACCCCCTCCCCTCTCCGGTATGGAAATGTCAGGCCGGCGCATAGTCGCCTTGTCCTTGATGAGTGCCCAGCGGCGCGGCGGGGGCCCGGGTGGGGCGGGGTGGAGCGGGGCGGGGTGAGGCGGGGCGGGGCGAGGCGCCAGTCAGGGGGCTGGCCGGGGCCGCAGTGCCGCTGCCGTCGGCGGGTAGTGAGTGAGGGCCTGCCGCACTCCCCTGCGTCTGCCCGCAGCCCGCAGTCCGCAGTCCGCACCCAGCGAGGTGCACCAGCCGCCATCTCTTTCATTTGATGACACTAAAAGCACCGCAGGCCGCCACCGGCTGCCAGCGCGACGACGGCGCCTGTCCCCGGCCCGGGGCCCGGGGTGGACATGAAGGGAAGCAGCAGGTATAGGACGGGCCGCGGCAGCGCGGTAGCGCTGGAGGGCGCCCTGCCCTCCCTTCCCTCCCTTCCCCCGCCGCCACTTTTCCGGCCAAGGCACCGCCGAGGCACCGCCAGGGCACCGCCAGGGGACCGCCAAGCAGGATTAGCGTCACCCCATCGGGGAGAGCGCGGCGCGGCGAAGGGTCGCACGGCACCGTCAGGCAGGCCACGGCCTTGCCACGGCACGGCCCATCGGGCCCGGCACGCCCTGCCCTCACGACAAGAGGGTCCACCCGACGAGCAGGCGAGCAGGAAGCAGGCCGTCAAGGGACACGTGTCGCAATAGCCACTCACCGACCGCAGCCCCGAATCTGACCCGGGCAGGGCCGTGCAGGGAGAGGGCCGTGCAGGGAGAGGGCCGGCAAGGCAAGGGGAGCGGCCGACGGCGGCCGGCTATGACGGCAGAAATGAAATTGAAACAGAAAGGAACTGCGGTGCCGTCCGTCAGAGGCACTCCTGCTCGGCCCGAAAGCCGGGGAGGCGCGCCCCGCCACTCCACCCCGCCCGGCTGGTTGCTCTCAGCAGCTCCCCTTCGTCGCCAACAAACACATCAGCCTGCAGCCCCGCGCAGCGCCATTCCGGACTATGAAACAACACTTGTCGCCCCAAAACGCGCTGCTCGCCCGGAGAAAGCACTTTTCGGAGCGTTTCCCGGGGGCGACGGGGGCGGCGGGTTGGCGGCCAAATAAAACAGTCCCCCGCTCGAGCCGCCGCCCCGGGCGTCTTGCAGGGCCCGGGGCCGGGGCGGGCAGGGGGCCGGCCGGGCTGCCAAAGCCACCCACGCCACGCCCAGCCACGCCTTCCTCTCCGCCCTCGCCATGCATCATTGGGTGATGGATCGCATTTTATATTGATCTCACGCGTTGACAACTTCGAATATATCGCCGTGACCAACGGCCGTGTCAAGAAGCCCCGTCCCGGCGCCCCTCCGGCCGAGCCTTCGCCCCCACAAGTGGTTCATCGGGACTGAGGCCCGCCGGCCCGGTGGGGACGAGGGTTGAGGCCGCGAAGACGGCGCGGCGACGACGACGCGGCCGGCCAGCGGAGGGAACGGCCGGAACGGCAATAACGAATTAATCATTCGGAAAAGTCGCTCTCAGCGGCGGCGTCCACGCGGAGCTCGCGGAGGCCCTCCCTTTCCCATTCCCTTTCCCGGCGGTTCCTTCTTGCGTGTCCGGAGGGCAGAGGGGAGGCCCCCTTCGCCCTTGACTGGCCTGAGCCTCGGCCGCCTGCGCGCCTGCCAAGCGGAGGGTAGGCAACCCGCCAGCCGCCCCGCCGTCGGGCTGCCTACCTCCACGGCGGCTTGGCGGGCCTGGCGGCGAGATCGCGAGGAGGGAGGCTGCCCGCTGCCCCAGGCTGGGCAGCCCCGCGGCACCGCGGCACCGCCCCAGGGCCGAGGGGCCGAGGGGATTAAGTAGGGCGAGGGCGCGGAGGGCGCGGAGTCGACAAGGAGGCCACGAGGGCGAAGGGCGCGGCGGCGGGGCACAGGGCGGAAGCGGCGTGGCGGATTGGCCAGGGAACGTATCTCGTGCGGAAGGCCCGCGCCCGCCCTGCAAGCCCGGCAGACTGCTTGCGGGAGGCGCCACGAGTGCGAGAGAGACAGAGCGACGACAACGACTCTCGGAATCAGTCTGCTGCACACTGGCGGCACTGCGCTCTGCGGTCTGCGTCGTCGTCAGTGCGTCGCGGGGGGCAGAGCCAGGCGGAGCGCAGAGCGAGGGAGGGGGCTGGATGGGCAACGTGCTGCATCGGGACCATCGGGACGATCGGGACCCAGGGCATGCGCCCGCAATATGACAAAACGGCTGGCCGCCGTTCCCATTCTGAGCGCGCCCCGTGTGCATCAGAGGGAAGGGGGAGGGGGAGGCATCGGAAGGCATCAGGTACGATATCGGCATGGCGCCGGCCGGGCCCAGGCCGGGCCAGGCCCAGGCCAGACTCCAATACAGCAGCCTCGCCGTCAGGGCGCCAGAGTCTGCAGGACCTCGCCGGGCGCAGGGGGCGGCGGTAACGAAGGGGCCGCGACCATGACGACGATGATGACGGCGGGGATGAGAGCGCGCTACACCGAGCCCCGCCGCGCCCCGCCCCGCCCCACTGCAGGTGGACCGACTCGACGGACTCGCCTCTGTAAGGGGCGGACCGGACCGGCATTTCAATCACCACATTTGCAATGCATTTTCCCGGAGCAAACAAGTCCCGGGGGAGGGGGAGGGGGTGGGGGTGGAGCTGTGCGATTCTTCCCCAAAGAGGCGCCAACGGCCTGGCTGCCAGCTCGCCAGGGCCTCGGCCAGGGCCGCCTGGCTCAAACAAATCCCCGCCGATAAAGGAAAGGCAAAGGCGGGGTGCAGGGCGGGGAGAATATACTCCTCGAAAGCGAAACAAACCGTCGGCGCAGTGTCGCTGCGTCGCTGGCCCGGCCGAGGCCCGGCGGTCTCGCAGTGTCGCAGCGCCCGGGCCTCGAAAATCGAAATGGGGCAAACGTATTCAGTGTCGTAAAAATTCAAATCAAATCTCCATCGTGCTGGAGGCCCTCCTGGCCCCACCCGCCGCCGTCCGCCGCGCCTCCGCCCCTTTCCCTTTTTCCGCAGTGTAGTCATTACCACGTGGGGAAGGTCGCTGCCATCTTCCTGTATCCCCGCGCCGCGCCGAGCCGCGCCGAGCCGCGCCACCGGGCGGGGGGAAGGAGGGTGTCGTCGGGAAATGCAATATGCATGAGTGTCCCGTAGCCAGGCTTGGGCGTGGCGCGGCGTGTGTGTGTGTGTGTGTGTTCTGCAGCAGAGGAGCAGGGGCGCCAGACAGAGCGAGGAGAGCAGGGCGGAGCCAGAGAAGCAGTGTCTTAAGTGGGCATCGCCGGCAGAGGCGAGGAGGCCGCCAGCCAGCAGACCGGCAGCGGGCAGCAGCTCATCAGCCAGGCAGGCGCAGCAGGCGCCAGGGGCAGCGGGCAGGCAGCCAGGCAGGCATAGGCAGGCAGCCAGGCGGCAGCCGGCGGCCCGACCAGGCGAGCCAGCAGCAGCGGCAGGACCGCAGCAGCCAGGCAGCACAGCAGGCAGCCAGGCAGGCAGCCAGGCAGGCAGCCAGGCAGGCAGCCAGGCAGGCAGCCAGGCCGCCGGGACGGCGGCAAACGAGATTCCGAACGCGCCAATGCCGTCGCGGGACAATGCCACACTGTCGGCGATCTCGGCGATCTCGGCAACGGCCTGACGCAATTACGGACAGGTGACGACGCCGACGCCCCTCCTCGAGGCTTGCCGAGGCTTGCCGTCGAGGGGTGCGAGCGGCGCCGAACCGCTTCGCGGACGCACCGGGCGACGACGTGCCGGCGGCGTGGCGCGGGGTGCCTGCTGGTTCAGGCTGTCTGGCCCATAGTAATCACCAACACGGTGCCCGGCTGGCTCGCTGGCTCATCGCCTCGTAATCATGGATAATGAACAATCTTCGAGGCGGGGCGGGCCCAGGCGGGCCGCCCTCCCCATCGCCGGACTAGCGCCGCCGCCAAACCAACTTAGTCGATGAGTACGATGGAAAATGGAAAATGGCACCAGCCCCGTCCCCTCTCGGCCTTTTGGCGTCGCTGGCCTTTTTCACAATATTTGCAATCTGCGATATGCCCTTGGTATAAAACAGCGAGTGCCAAAATCTCGAATAACAGAAATACGGCGTGCTTCAACCCCTCGCTAAAGTCAGTCGCGCGCACCATCTACCACTTACCATTGGCGGGGCACAGACTGCTCGACTCCAGTGCGGTGCCCCCGCCCCGCCCCGCCCCGCCCCGCCCCGTCGCACTGCGCCGCGCGAACCCCTGAGCCCCTAAAGGCCCGCAAAGCCCAATGCCACAATTCCCACTTCTTCCACCCTCAGCGCCTGAGCGCCAGCGCGCCTAGCGCAAGGTCAGGGGTTCGAGTACCAGCGACCCCGGCCCGGCTCGGCCCGGCCTGACGGGCGGCGGCCTGCGCGCGCTGCGCCACGCCAGCCAGGCTGACCATAATTTGGTTCTCGGCTTTCTCATGGAGCCCTCTGGGACGTCCCGGACGGCGCGATCCGCCTGGGCTGGCGGTGCTGGCGGGGCTGGCGGCGCGCGGCCGTTGACCTTTCCAAGCGCCAAGCGCAAAGAGCCAAGCGCCGCTGGCACAGAGTTTTGCGTCAAATCGCGGAGGAAAGGAGCGGGGGTGGGGGAGGGGGGACGTTGCCCCGCGGGGCCGGGGCGCACCCTGCGCGCCCCTCGGCCATCGTCGCCGACGTGCTACGGCCTACGGGCGGCCAGAGTCGTCAGCTGCCTGCCAGCGGCCGCCTGGTCGCGTCTCGTCCTACCCGCGTCCCGCCCCGCGCACCGCGTCCGCCAAGGAAAAATGTCACTGGCAGTTTCGGGCAGGGACACTGAGTGAAGCGGAGCGGCGGGGCCAAAAAGGGGAATCTGGGGGGCGCGGGCGCGCGACAGGCCGTCCGGGCCAGGCCGCCCAGGCCGCCCAGGCCGCCCCGCCCAGGCCAGCGCCACGTCGCCACGTCGCCACGGCGGCTAAACGGGGTGACTCGGGGGCAGCGGGGGCCTCTCCGGGTCCACGACCACCAATTAAGCACGCCAGCGCGCTGCATTATTGATTCAAAACATCAAAGACTCGAGTCGAACGCCCGGCCCTCGGCCTTTGAGCGAGAAGCCCGGCAGCCTGCGAGGAATGCTGGCACTGCTGGCGCCCATAAGGCCGCCGAGCGCCACTTGGTCGGCCGGCGCGACGTCCTCCAACGCGTTCTCAACCCCGCTCCCAGCACGCTACGCTACATACCGCGGTGAAGTCATATCTTGAGCACGTCCACGATGATGTGGACGTGCCGCTGCTGGCCGCGCTGCGTGCCCCTCCTGGTCGCCGACGTGCCGATGGACGTGGCAATGGACGTGGCCGTGGCGACGGAGGACGGATCGGCTTCCAGGTGGTTGCAGCTGCTGCAGCTGGGGTAGCTGGCGCAGCTGGTCGAGGACGGCGTGCGCAGCCCGCTGGCGAGGCCGTTGAGGCCGTTGAGGCCGTTGTTGCCGAGGCGGTGCGCGCGGCCGCTCCTGCTCAGCCCCACGCGCCGACTGAGGGACCACCAGTTGCGAGCCAAGGGGCCCAGCGCGCCCAGCGGGCCCAGCGGGCCGAGGGGGGCCAAAGTCGCGGGCGTGGTGCTGCCGCCAGAGCCGGAGCCAGTCTGCTGCTGCGGGGGTGGCGGGGGCGGCGCGGCGCCGGGCGTCGTCGCTTCGGCGTCGTCGTCCGCCTCGGCGTCGCTAGAGGTGCGGCGACACATGACGGCGGCGAGGGTCGCGGTGGCGGCCGCGGGGCCGGGCCGCGCGCATACGAACCCTGGCTCCCGGTGGCGCTGACTACTGGACGGCCGCTTCTTCAGAGGGCGGCGGCGGCGGCGTCGGCGGCGTCCTGGCTCGCCGCGGCCATGCCGAACCGCCGCGCCGCGCGTGGAGGCTGGAGCACCTTGGCGGCGTGCGGCCCGTGCTGCCCCGTGCTGCCCCGTGCTGCCCGGCCGGGCCCAAATGTCGACTAACCTTTGAGCAGGGGCCGCACCGCCATTTATAGGCTCGGCGCTGGGGATGGGGGCCCCGGGGCGTCCGGGGCGTCCGGGCTGGTCCGGCGGGGATGCCTGCCTGGGAGGGGCGGCACGGCGGCACGGCGGCACAGGGGGCAGCGAGGCGTGCATAATCGCCATAGGGGAGGGATGAGCGTCAAAGGAAGGGGAGGCAAGGTAGCAGGGTGGGGCGGAGCCGGGCGGGGCGGGGCGGGGTGGGGCGGGGCGCACACATTTTTGAAAGCGAAAGAAGGAGCGGGGCGGGGCGGCCCGCGGACTTTGCTTTCCCTGAGGACTAACGAGGCCGGCGGTACCAGTGTACCAGTGAGTGGCGACGCTGGACGCTGCAGTGGCGGCGCCGGGTGGAGCCGGGTGGAGCCACGGCGGTAGTCGGAGGGAGGGAGGGGGAGGGGGAGACACTTCTCGCGCAGTCCCCAAGTGGCCGGGAGACGGAGAGGGACATTAGATCCTCATTACACTCGGTGACACTCAGCCTAGTCCGCCTCACCCCTCACCCACCCCACCACTAGGCAGCCGTTCGAACGGGTCTCACCCACCCTACCGTCGGTTGCACGAGCAAACCCTCCCGACTTCCGCGTATGTTGAAAAGACACATCAAACCCATCCCGCAGCCCAAGTGCGAAGGGGATCGGGTGGGTATGGAGCATCATGCATTGCGTCGCGCGCGGCCCGCGCAGCCAGCAAAGCTGGATAAAGGCTGCTGCCCGCCCCTCACTCCCTTTCCGCCCCGGCGCGCCGCAGCGCGCTAAATTTAAACGGCAGGGCATCGCAGTGCAGGTGCCGCCATGGAGTGGTGTAATGGAGTGGTGGAGTGGAGTGGTGGAGTGGAGTGGAGTGGGGGAGTGGAGTGTAGTGGGGGAGTGTAGTGTAGTGGGGGAGTGGGGTGTAGTGGTGGAGTGTTGGAGTGGAGTGTTGGAGCGGAGTGTTGGAGCGGAGTGTTGGAGTGGAGTGGTGGAGTGGAGTGGTGGAGTGGAGTGGTGGAGTGGAGTGGTGGAGTGGAGTGGTGGAGTGGAGCGGTGGAGTGCCCCGCCCCGCCGGCCCCACCATGGCGCGCGCGCATTGAGGCATTCGAGGCCCCGGCCATGCAGCTACCCCGCCGCAGCCCGCCGCAGCCGCACTTCATCAGCAGACTGATTGCGCAGAGCGGTTTGCTGCTCCGGCTCCGTCCGGCTCTCTCGCACCTTTGCCGGACGGTCCCCGCGAGCGAAAGAGAGAGCGTTATCACTCGGCAGACTCCTCTACACCAATCACCAGGAGTCCTTCTCCGAAACCGCGTGGGACAGTGGCGCCCTGGCCGCCGCGTGCGCAGGGCCTGCCACGGCCTGTCCGCGGCGTATCCACGGCGTGTCCACGGGTTGCCGCGGCGCCGTGTCGGCTTACTCAGGCGTGTCAGCGTGTCAGCGCGCGGCCGGGGCGCGGGGCGCGGGGCGGCGTGCGGCTCTGAGTCGCCTCTCCTCTCCAGCCAGCTTCGTACACATTGCCCGACCAGCAGTTAAACCTTTTCGGAGGCAGTCACTGGAGCGGAATCCTGGTGGAGCACCTCAGAGGGGAGGGCTGCCGGGGCGCGGGGTGGGGGTGGGGTGGGAACAGGCCGCGGGGAGGCCGGGCGCGACCGCAAAACACACAGCCAAGTGGACAACGGCCGGCCCTCCCCGCGCAGCCCCGCGCAGCCCCCCGCATAAACAACATAACACGCTCCACCTGACTTGCGGGCCGCGGGCGCCGCGCGGCGCCGCGGGGTCGGGCGGGGGTGGGTTCGGCGCGGCTGCACAGTCCGCTGAAATGGCGGTCATTAAAAGAACATAGCCTGCTTTGCCCGCGCGACGAAGCATGCAGTGAGCGCGGAGCGGACATCCCGGCGGCGCATGGCAGCAGTACAACCCGGACGACGCGACGACGGGCTGCTCCCGGCGGACCGCGCACCGCGCACCGCTTGCCTACACTGTGCACTCACCCTTATGAGCTTGGGCATGTTCTTGGCGCCGTGGTAGCAGGGCGGCAGGCAGTCCTCCAGGCGGCTGGACGGCAGGAAGGGCGTCTGCGCCGAGCTGGACGGGTAGCACTTGCGCAGCAGGCTGGAGGGGGTCTTGGGGTTGGGCGTCGTGGAGCCGGTGGCGGCGGCCGACGTGGTGGCGGACGAGGAGGCGCCGCCCGACGCGGAGGTGTTGCCGCGCAGCCCGGACGACGAGGACGACGACGCCGTGCCGCCGGCGGGCTGCGAGCCGAACCGCCGCCACGAGCCGCACGAGCCCACGCCGCCGCCGCCGCTGGTGGCCGTGCCCGTCGTGGGGCCAGCCGCCTCCGTCTCGCCCTCCTCGCTGCCGCCCTCCGCCTCCTCGGCCAGCGGGCTGACGGGGCGCGCCAGCGCTCCCCCGGAGAAGGCGGGCACCGGCAGCAGGAAGCTCTCCTGGAACACAACGGGGCAGAGGTTAACGAGTGGCCATGGAGCGTACCTCAGTTACCCCGCAAACGCACAAGGTTTTGTAAAGATGCGGCCTACAGTGTAACGTCGGAAAACCAAAGCTTTGCACCGTGAACCTCGAATCCGAAACAAAATCAACACGATAAAGAAAATTCCTGCGAGAGAGGGCAGACGGCACTCGGGTGGACCGACCCTCTTCCCTTCAAAAGTGGTCCTCCACATCCTGTACAGTTCCCCCATCTCGCCGCAGGAGCAACCTCAGAGTTAAACCGCAGTGGCCTCGCCTCGCCATCGGTCACGTCATTTGTGGTGTGGAGGAGTCCTCTCATAGTAGGCCAGGCTGCCACTTTTCCCAGAAGCTGGGTGTAAAGGAGTCGGCCGACAGGGAGGTCAGCCCACGCGTGGTCCAAAACAAGATGGAAACAATAATAGGTCGATTCACGGGCAGGTGAAATTTGGCCAGGTTAGACAAAAGAACCTCGTGAAAACGCAAGTCGCCAAAGGATATTCTTGTGACAAAAGTCGTGGACGATGGAACCAACCGTGGGTGGCGGCGGGGCAGGCTTCGCCTTCTCGCACAGGATGGGCCTGGGCCTCGGCCTGGCGGTCACCTCGGCGACGAGGACGGCGTGGCGGCGGCAGTCCACCACGATGACACGCATGCCGAACGTGCCGTGGAGCGCGCCGTCGGGGAGCGCGCGTACGCCGGGCCGGCCGGGCCGCACGACCACCGCGTCATCCATCTTGCTCCTTCTCGCTCTTCGCACTCACTCACACACTCACTCTCGCGGCATGACTTGCCACAACGCGCAGCGTGGCGGTCACGAGGACCGCCCCGGCGGGTCCAGGATCGCGATCTAAGACAGGTGCGTCGCGGGTCGGAGGCCCTGACGCGGTGCTCGCGTACGCGTCGCTGTGCGTCGCTGTGCGCCCAGGCGAGGCGGGGCCGTGACTGACTGGGGCTGGGCTGGCGTGCCCTGGCGTGCCCGGCCGGCACCGGACTGCCAACACGTTAACGAGTGTGACGCGGTGACACGGCAGTGACGTGGCGGCCTTTTGCATCGCGTCGTCCACAAATTGAAGTACAGTACGCGTCTGTGTGAGTGCCTGTGAGGGTGTGTGTGTGTCGGCGGCACATCACGAGGGTGGGTGGGGGCATATTGGATGTTCGGAGGGATGATGGGGCAGAGCGGCAGAGGGTGTCCGGGGCGCACAGTTTTCTCAATCTCAATATCGGCAGAATGACACAATGAAAGGACCGCTTGTTTTGCTATTTTGGCCGTGCGACGGCGCGTCGTCTGCCCATCCGCGTGCCACGTCGGCGTGCCACGTCGGCGTGCCCAGTGCACCGGCCCTCCTGCTGCCGAGCCCCCCCCCCCTAGTTAGCACCCACTAAACACGAGGCCGAAAAGCCGCGCCGCGTTTCCAATCACCGCCAGTTCGGCTCCATATTAAATACTTTAATCATAAACAAACATTTCCTTTGCTCATGTCCGTGCTACGTATTTTTCGGTTGCAGGAGCACTCGATGGTTATTGAACGATTTTTATTTTCTGTAAATTTAGGCCGGCGCTTTGCCGCTAGGAAATGTTTTGGAGCGTCGTGCGCCGACGAGTCGGCCTCTCGGAAACTCTTCTGATTACGCATTTGGCGTCCGGACGGTCCCGACGGCCCGACGGCCCTCAAAGGGAAGCGGAAGGGGAAGTGCGGCCGGGCGGCTCGGCTGGCCATCCGAATCCGAAATCGTTGCAAAAGGGCGAGGCAGAGGCAGCCTGTCTGGCGCTGCTGCGGCCGGTGCGATAATTTCTTCATACGGACCAGTCAATAATTGGAATGTTGGCAAGCCTGCGGGAGGGGGGGGGGGCTGCGAGGCGGGAGAACCACTTCAGTCTCCGCTCCCGTTTCCGATAGGGGAGGGGTGGAGAGGGGGGGGGAGGTCCCTTGAAACTAGAGGGGAAGCCTCTCACTTGCCATCGTTCTCCCCCTCACAGTGTGGGTCAGGTTTCGGCCCGCCTGACTGCTTCATTCCCATCCCCACTCGGAAAAAGGGGAAAAGGCAGTTAGTTATAAAAAGGCGGCTGTGCCGTCCGCGCATCCACTCGATATCTCTGGCGAATCAACACGACTTGATGTCTGTGGGTGGCAAGCTCGTAAACCAGTAAACCATTAAACCAGCAAACAAGTAAACCAGCGGACCAGTAAACGGCGGCCGGGGAGCGGGGCGTCCTTCTCACGCAGCAGCCCGTTCGGTAGGCAACCCTTCCTGCCCGGGGCTGCTTCCGAGCCGCGCGTTCGTCGCGCTCCCTCCTCCTCGCACGCATGGGGCGTCCCGCGGGAGTGCGAGGCAGACGGAAGGACGAAGCACTGTTCGGGATCGGACTGCTGGCCAGGCGCCAAGCGCTACGCGGGCCGCCCCGAGGGCCGCCCCATGCCTCGGGCGAGTCCTGATTTCGAGAGGGGACGTCGGTCCGTCGGCCTGTCTCTCTCGCACCCATACAGGACGCCCAGCGAGAGCCAGAGAGAGGCAGGGGGGGGGGGGAGAAGAAGACCTCCCGCTCGGAATCATTCTGCTGCGCTCCGCAGCGAGCTCTGCACCGCCTTGACGGACCTGTGACGGCCCTGCACTCGGGGAAGCGGAGTGGATCATTCTGGGGCCATTCCGGACCATTCTGGACCCGTCTGGAGCACGAAGACGCATTGTGGCGACGGACTCTGGGTTGGCCTCCTAGGTACAAGCCGTCTGCCTCACGCCCAGCTTGACCTCCGCCGCCGCGCTGCCGCGCCGCTCCCTCACCTTGTCCTCGGAGATGGTCCTGAGCGCGCTGGCCTCGACGGGCGACATGGGCCCCGTGTCCTTGGTGGTGGTGCGGCCCCAGGACTCCTCCAGGCGCAGCTGGATGCCCGCCAGGGCGGCGGCGTCCTCCTTGGAGCATGGCAGGTCTCCCCCCACCACCAGCTGCACCAGCTGCAACAACAAAAACAACAACATGAGACGGGTACTACGCAGGTATGGGGCCCTTCGCGCGGTGCCGCGCTTCCCTTCCAACGGGTCCCACATCTATTTTCGCTCCGACATCCCCCTTCCCCCTTCCCCAGTCCCTCCGGCCCCTCCTCGCGCCAAAGCGCCCCGCGCGGTGAGTCGCGGCTCTCTTTTATGTTGCTCACCTGGCTGTGGCCGTGCCGCCAGCCCGAGCCGCCAGCCCGCCCAGACCCATTCATTCGGCGCGGACCCATCCACGGACCCGGCGGCCGAATCGCCGTAGCTCGGCAGGGGCGGCCGCGCAGTTACATGTCCAGGCCGGGGCGGGGCGGGGCGGGGCGCGCGCCTCTGATCAGTGATCGCGTTAAAACCACCTCGCCGGGCCTCGCGGCCTGAACCCCAAAACGGGCCACACAGAAAATGAAGTGCACACGGGCCGGGGGCCGGGCTGGGCCGGGCCGGGCGGCGAGCGAGAGCGCCTGGCCGCCAGGCCGCGAACCGACGCGGAAGTAACAGATGCGGACGTATAGTGGAACCTGGCGTGGCACTCGCCCGCCACAATGCCACTCGGCTCGAAGCTTGAAGTCATCACCACGGCATGACGGACCCGCTATGCAGCGCTATGCATGGAACGTAGGGCACTGGGGCACTGTGCAGATGGGCAACGGGAGCAAGCGCCCGCCTGCCCTCCCAGTGTGTGCCCGCCCCGCGCCCGCCCCGTGCCCGCCCCGAGCCTCCAGCCGAGCCCCCAGGCCCTTGGCTGGAGACGGTCCGTTGCCTTGGCGCCTTGGCCCTCGTGGCCCCATGAGCCCCCAGGCCGCCCCAGGCCCTGGGCCCGCCGCGGGCCCTACTGGCCCGTGAAAGTCCGTGTGAGGGTAGGTGAGTTGAGGTGTGTGAACTGAGCAAAGCCGTGCCTGGCCGTGCCGTGGGTCCGCTTTGAGGTTCAGGCCGCCGCACCCCACCCCGCCACGCCACGCCCCGCCCCGCCCCGCCACGCCCCGCCCCGCCCCGCGGCGCACCCCGCGTCTCTCTGCCCACTGGAGCAGGCAAGCGCGACAAGCCCTTCCGCTAAATCTAGTCAGTGTGTGAGAGAGTGTGTTAGCGAGTGTGTGTGTGTGTGTGTGGTCAGCACGCGGCTGGTAAAAACAGAGGGGACACGCCACGCTGCCTCGGCATCCTCTTCATCGAGCGGCGCGGAGCGCGATCGCTTGGAAACTCCCTTTTGAAAAGGTTTAAAAAAAGAACATCTATTTGGAATTAACAAACTGAGCATATTAATAAACGTCATAAATGTGTCACATGTCCAGAGAACAGCAGAGAGGGCGTTAGAAGGGTTCCACCAAAATGCTCGATGTGCTAGGTGTGACTCGATGCTCCGAAATTTTTTTGCATTTTATTTGAAACGAATGGCGGCGCGAATCTTTTCGGAAGTGCGTTTGCCAACGGCGACGAAAACACAAACAGTGGCTGCGGATGTGGTGCGTGTGTGACGTGACGGCGTGTGTTGATTGGAACCCCCGTGAGTTGGCAGTGGCCAGGCAGGCAGGCAGGCAGGCAGGCAGGCAGGCAGGCCTACCCGGTACGGCGCCACGGCGCGCCACGGCGTGCGTGACTGGCAGGGAGCGGGTTGCAAACACTCTCAGCACGTTACTGACTTTTTCCTCATTAATTACGTATTCGTATAAACAGCAATAATACTTAGTATTTTCTTAGTAAGTATGACTAATTTCCTTTGAAAAATTACGCACGAAACAAAATGCTCAGTACATTATTGAATATTTCCTAAGTAGTTCTTTAAAAAAGGAAAAGTACGTATTATGGTTGCACAAATTACTTGCATAAGCACTGACAAAATGAGCAAAAGGTCAGTGCTAAGAGTGAACTGTCTGCGGCTCGTCTTGCTCGGCGTCACTCGGCGTCGCCTCGCTCGCCCCGTGTCCTGCCATCGCCGTGCTGCCGCCGCCGAGCCGCTCCACGCGAAGCGCGAAGCCAGGCTGCTCGTTTCCGTGTGAAATGACTAACGCGATTTGAGCCGCCCAGACGGGCAGGCAGGCAGGGCGCCGCGGCATGCGAGCAAGGCGGGGCAAGGCGCGGTAAGGCGCATCGATGCATTAGCACATTAGTATTAGTGGCCCTCAGCCCCTCAGCCATGCATCAGCGCGTAAACCGCCTCTACACTGCAAGGCAGACATTACGTTTCCAGATTTTTCCTTCAAGAAACTCAATCGGCAAAATCAACCGAAAAATTGCCGAATGTTAAATCAGGGGGAAGAACAAAAGGACGCACGGCCTGGTCGAAAAAAGCCGACCCTCGATGGTACGAACAATTTAGACACGGGATAGCAGTGAGTGAGTGGCGGCACACTGTGTAGTCAGCCTACCCCTTGGCCTACCCTGGTTAGACTGAAACTGTCCGCTGTCCCCTTCGTGCCGCGCGACGTCGCTGTGTTCATAACAGTCGCGCTTGTTTTTTCCGGTGGCAAAATGGCTGCCAACCTCGTAAATCTTGACAAAGACAGTCGTCGTCGCGACGCGGCGGGGCGGGGCGGGGCGGGGGGGCGGGGCGGGGCGGGGCGGGGCGGGGCGGGGCGGGGCGGGGCGGGACGCGGCGGGGCGCGGCGTCCAGGGCAAGTTTGACGACGCTAGGCGAGTCGGACTGCAGAGGGGTGGGCCAGGAATTTGGCCAGCGCTGCAGAGCAGCTTTTTTACTGGTGGGTGACGGAAGCCCGTCCAGGCCGGACTGCGTCGTCTCGCGTCGCCAGCCTCGTGGCCCCAGCAGCCCCCCAGCACACAGTGGGCCAGAAGACCGACGCCGGCGGTCAAAACTCTACACGCGGTTTGAGCTCCAGAGTCGATAAACAGGACTCGAACCGAGCGTGTGACCCCACCAATGGATTCCTCGTGCGGAGAGCAATCCATTGGTGGGATCACAGTCCGATTCGACTCCTGTTTAGCGACTCCGGAGCTCAAAACGCGTCCGGGATTTTGACCGCCTCCGCCGGTCTTCTAGCCCACTGAGCAGCAGCCCCAGGAGCTGCGGACGCAGCCCGCACCTCATCACCTCGGCTGTTTGTGTGCACAGCGCAACCCGTCACAAACTTCGAACCAGCCCGAAGAAAGTACCACTGTACAGGATGTCCTCAACAGTTAGAGTCCGTTGGATTCCTCAGAATGGACATAGGAGGCTGACTTTGAGCCGAGGCATGTTGATGTTGATTTCACTCGAGGCAGACGCAGTCTCCTTCACGTTGGACGGCGCGGCGAACTCGGCGACTCTCATTTCTGGGAGTGCGATTGATTTTTTTTTCCGCGAGCAGCCTGCTCGGAAACACAGCAGCAACCAGTGAGCCACCGGGAGTCCTTCTCGCCCCGTCCACCCCATCCTCGTCATCTCCCTCTCGCCGCTCTCGTCGCCCTCGCCCGCCGCCATTTGTCTTCTTCTCCCCCTTCCTCCCCGTCCAGGCCGTGCAGGCCGTGCAGGCCGCGCGACATATGTTGCAAAGGGCGTGTCCAGCATGGAGGACAAGAGGATCGTGTTCCCGGAGCCCCGGGCCGGGCCGGGCCCGACGCGCGGTGAAGTAGGCCATTCGGCCGCTCGCTGGCGGGGCTGGCGGGGCTGACGGCGACCCCGTGTGTCCGTCGGCGAGGTGCCGCAGTGCCGCAGCACGGCCAGCTTGCCGGGCACCACGCCGCGGTGAGCTCATCTCGGCGTCGATGTCGGCTTTACGGCACCCTTTGCCGGACCGGCTTCCGAGGCCTCTCTCTCGCACTCGCGGGGCGCCCCGTGAGGGTGCGAGTGGTGCGAGAGAGACAGAGCGACCCTGGCAGCGCGCTTTCACAGTGAGTCAGACGGGGCGAGGCGGGGCGAAGAAAGCGCCACTGAATGGCCCTTCGGCTTCGGCCCCCTGCTGCTCACTGTTTCCGAGAGTCGTTTTCGCCGCTCCGTCTCTCTCTCACCCACAAGGCACGCCCCATGAGTGCAAGAGAGGCAGAGCGGCGAAAATGACTCTCGGAATCAGTCTTCTGGCCCCTTTGACGCGCCTTGACGCCGGCGCGCGCGGAGTATCTGCGCGGTTCACTCAAGGGGAAGGCCTGGAGTCTCCGCGGCCGGCAGGCGCGGGGTAGCGACGCGGCGCTACACCCTTTCGCTTGCATTCGCCGCCCCCGTCCAGCAGGGAGTAGCGCCACTGATAAGCGCTCGCGCGTCCTTCGGAGCAAGAGCAAACCCCGCTGCCGCACACCCATGCTGCCCCTTTGCCTCTCGTAAACCACGTGGCTTTGGAAAACCAAACAGTGCCCCCAAGTTTCCTTCCTGGTTTCCTCGCACGAGTCACGAACTGTCCTCATTCTTTTGAAGTGGGAAAAGTGGCCTCTGGTCAAACAAACCCGCTGTGCAGCAGAGCCCTTGGGCAGAGCTGCACCGCTGCACTCTCAAACGGTGAAGCTGTAAGCACGGCGGGACAGGCAACGCAGAACACGCACCCCAGGAACGCCCAAGGCACGCCCCGACGCCTCAGGGCAGGCAGTGGAAGCCACAGCCCGCCGGCCCTGCTGGCCAGGCCGCCCTGCCACTCAGTGAGGCAAGGCGCAGTCAGGCCACACACAGTGGGCCAGAAGACCAGAGGAGGCGGCCAAAACTCCAGAGCTCCAGAGTAGCTAAACAGGACTCGAACCAAACGTGTGACCCCACCAATTGATTCCTCGTTCGCAGAGCAATCCATTGGAGGGGTCAGAACTTCGGTTCGAGTTCCATTTAGCGACTCTGGAGCTCAGAACGCGTCCAAGATTTTGACCGCCTCCACCGGTCTTCTGGCCCACTGTGCGCTGGCCCTGCGACCCTGCCGGCCTTGCGGCCCCGGCTCGCTAGATCCGCCTCATTCAATCGAGTCTAACAATAACAGTTCGCCGTTTTCGCGAGAGAACGTCTCTGCCCGAGGCGCAGCCAATGAGTCGCCTCCCTGTCGCGTGCCGCATTGGCTGAGCTC